TCCAATCTAAAATTTCCTAACAAAATATTTAATTATTATTTTTCAATAAAAAAAAATAATTAATAATTAATTAATTTTTTAATTAATCAATTAATTATTATTGAAAATCATTTATCGTAGAAATTCTACTTATTTCATTGTAACAAGAATATTTTAACATCAACTTGGATTATTCTACTTGTCATTAATTGTAGTAAATGGTTAATTATCAAGCCGATGCTACGTGGGCTCAATGATTGGATTTGCTGTTCATTTGCTTGTGGCAATTTCACGCATAGATGCTTTTGGTGTCAGATGACAGGTAGAAAATGGAACAATCACATGATAGGACGAGACGGCCTTCTTCCCCTTTTTTTTTTAAAAAAAAAAAAAAAAAAAAAACCCCTCAGTCTCTCTTTTCTCCTCTCTTTAGGGTCACTGTCCGTGAAATTCATAAATAGATAAAGTCTCTCTATCTTGTCTTCGCTTCAATGGTTTTAACGATCGTGAATACTGTCCTTCAATATATTAAACTTTAACGTCGTGTTCATCTTATAAAATCATGTTTTCGAATATACAACGATGCAAAATTAAAATTTTTCAAATTTTCCCATTTTATTATATTTATTTTGTTTTTGTAAATTCGTATGTCAATACTTTATTAATATTATAATTATTAATTTTTTTTAAATATTATTTAAATTAAAACGATTTAAAAAAAAAAATTAGTTAAGTAAATTTTTTTAAAAATTTTCCAATGTGATAATTAACGTTTTACAACGTGATTGATAATGTTTCATATTATATTATGAAATATTTCTTATCTGTTTCAAAATTTCTAAAAAGTTTCTGTTTCCTTGCGTGATAAAAGTTTTTTGCTTATTAAGTAATGCAAAGCTCGTTTGGTCAGACGAGGAGTGATCGATTCTCGGTCTTTTTATATACAGTCTTCTTTAGAAAATTTTTTCTTTAAAGAAGTTGATTTTATGTAAAGTATAAAAAATTGATATAAATAATTATTATTCTCAGAAGAATGGATTTTTTTTGGGGGGGGGGATTTTTACTATCAGTAGTCGAAACAAATTTTAGTCAGACATACTAAATTCTCAAACAGTTAGTGGTTTAAGTCATTTATAGTCAGACAATGAATAAAATCTTTAATTTTACTACTAGTAGTAAAGGCAAGTTATAGTCAGATAATGTTTTAAAAAATTTCTACGATTTTAGTATCAGTAGTGGAAGTAAATTTTGGTCAGATATTCAATATTTTGAAATATTCAGTAGTTATAAATCATTTACCGTTAGATATAATGTTTAAAATATTTGTAATTTTTCTGCAAGTAGTACAAGTAAATTTTAGTCAGACCGTGCATTAATAATTTTTTTTTTTCTTGCAAAATTTTTTTTTCTATTTTTAATTTTTCAAAAGAATATTTGTATTTTCTTTGTGCACCAGAAACTATTTTCTTGATTCGCCAAGTAATTTCGTGCATGACACAATGTTGTATTAATGGAACAATATTTGGATGAGAGCGAGAGCAGGTGTAGCTTCTGCGCGCTCATTGTTGCAAGTATATAGCAGGGCAAGATGCGTGAATGCGGCAAACAAGAATAACGTTACCAAGATATTTGCGAGTAATTTGAATCGAGGAATATTCATGAGCGAGACGTTGTACCATTACATTTGTATATATATATATATATATATATATATATATATATATATATATATATATATATATTTATGCATTACGCAGATGGACCCACACCAAGCACGTAATACCGAGGGTCAAAAAGCTTTGCTTTATACAAAGCAGAAAATCCATGCCGGAAATGTGCGTCCGCACTTCCAATTAGCCAAAGTGCATCACTAAATGTGATGATGTACAGTGGTTATACTTGTCACGGCAACTGGTTGCTGCATTAGCCGAACATATTTTACACGTTAGAAAACAAAGTTTCCTCGTAGGACTAAAATAGTTTTTTTTTTACTACTGACGCAAAAAATAGAAATTCTCCTATTTGTTCTACTTTCATTCTTTTTATGTCAGTGTAGGGAATAATTTTTAAAATAATCATGTCTGACTGAAACCCACTTTTACTACTAATTATTTTAATTAACGAAATTAGGACACATCTGTCTGATTGAAACACACTTAGACTACTAATATAAAAAAAAAATTATAGTAATTAGACATTTTTTTTTTGGTCTAACTAAAACTGGATTTTACTACTCATTCTCAAATTACGGTAATTAGAAAATATCACTTTAATTAAAACTCACCTTTAATTGTCTGATAAACTGCTCTCGAACGTCTGAAACAAAGAAATTTCAAGATTAGAGAAATAAATTTCGTCTTACTAAAACTGAGTTTTACTACTGTAATAAATAACACTGTGCAAAAAAAAAAAAAAATTTATTTCATGAAAATAAACAGTTACTTAACTATAAATATTGGAGTAAATAAATTTTATTTAAATTTTGAATTAAATAAACTGTATTTGAACGAATAATTTCTCTATTTCTAATATATTGTAATTTAATTAATTTTTAATATTTTAAGTATCAGAAATTTTGACTAAAGCTGACTTATATCCTTCAAAAAGAAATTTTAATTACTCTTCCAATAATCTTCAATAGAACCTTCTAAATATTGCAATATTAAGCTTCAATAAATATTTAATTTCTTCATTGGCATCTTTAATATAAAATACTTTAAAGTAAGTTTCAATATAGCATTTATGTACTTAAAAGAAAATTTTGAATTCGAAACTATTGTATGAAAATCAATTACAGTATTAAATATTAAATCAAAATTTTGAAATTAATTAACGTTTCTGTTCAATACAGACCTTTCTGGACAATTGTCAAAGAAACTTGTTACATTAACGTAAAATTAGATTGTCAAATATTTAACTGAAATTTTAAAACAAATGTTTAAATAAAAAAAAAAAAGTGAAAATACAAATAAAATATAAATGAAAAATAAAAATTGTTATTAAGAATAATTTGTTTTTTAATTTTCTTTAAATAAAACGTAGATAGAAGGTTTCGGAGAATTTTTTTTTTTGACAGCAACTACATCCTGCGAGGAAAAATGGCTAAATCACGTGCGGTCACTGCTCTTTTTTTTATTTTTCATTTTTTTTTTTGGCCTTTTTCCTTTTTACAAATCCTTTTGCCTTGAGGTATTCTCTCTAACACATCAATTTATCTTGTCTTCTTATATATCCGTTTCCTGGAAACGTCTATTATCCCTTACGATCGCTTCTCGATGCAGTTCACTGCACAAATTCCAACCAAGGAGAAAGAAACGATAAAGGTGGGTCGCGCGAACGTGTGCAGCCGTTGGCAAGCAGTTCTCACGAAGAAAGAAACTGTTTCTGCCGAAGCACAGTTACCCCCCAAGCATGAAATCGTATACTCCAAACTGCAATTGAAATATATACGCGATTGCTGGGGAGAAAACCACATGCATCGACATATATATATATATATATATATATATATACTTTCCAAGAAAAAATTTTACGTGTACTCATCTAAAAAAAAAAGTATGCGCTTTTTTTATATATATATATATATAGGCTCGACCTACTTATTATATACTTTACTTAAAAAAAATTCTTATGTATATTTTATTGAAAAAGTATTTCCATCTCCTTAGATAAAGTTTACTTGCAAATGTAATTAAATCTCAAACTAAAAACGGAAGGATTTTAATATAAAAACTTTTGTTTTCATTGGGATGGTAGAAAAGTACATCATAAGTAGAAAAGAAACAATTTATTTTAAAAAATAATTTACATTCTGTTAACAATGGTTTAAAAGTTTTACACAACACAATGTTAAACATATATAATTTTGAAGGAAACTTTACACTGAAGCAATAAAATTTTTTGCATGAAAGTAGTAAAAACAGAGATATAGTCAGACATTACATTTTTTTTACAAAATAGAAAAAAAACTTAACTAATGTATTAATTGTAATAGTATTAAATCTCAATATCTTTCATTGTTTTAAATTTTCTTTAAAATTTAAAAATTTTTAATTTAAAACAAAAGAAAATTTTAATGAAAATAGAAAAAGTTTGTTCACGTTATAAGCTTTAGAGCCTCGGGAGTATAAACTATCATCAATTAATGACCATCTCGTGCCTTTATCACTTAAATTTAAGTAGTAAAGGCACGAAGTTGTCAGACACGAGAGATATTTTAGTATGTACTCAATTCTGCATAAAAATCCATTACTTTCAAATAATTATCAATGTCATTTTAATTATATTAAAATGTGTTATATATAAGTTCAATTAGTTTCAAAAATTGTTTTTTCTTCGTCTGACTAAAATTGACTTTTTCTACTTCCTCTTCAACAATTATTATATTTAATAAAAAAAATTTAGTGTAAAAATAAGTTCTTCTACTTATACAATTATTAATAAAAAGTTTGTCTGACTAAAACTGATTTTTACTACTTAGAATTACAATTACATAGTACTGCAATTATTATATAAAAGCTTGTCTGACTAAAACTGACCGTTACTACTTATATTTCTGCTATTATTAAAAGAAAATTTGTCTGGTTAAAATTGATTTAACTACTAATAATGACAAAATTTATTAAAATTGCTTTGTCCGACTATAACTGACTTTAACTACTTAAAATACAATTACACAAATTGAAGAAAATTTATTTGATTATTCACAATTACAACTGATACTACTGCAATAAGAGAGAGAGAGAGAGAGAGAGAGAGAGAGAGAGAGAGAGAGAGAGAGAGAGAGAGAGAGAGAGAGAGAGAGAGAGAGAGAGAGAGAGAGAGAGAGAGAGAGAGAGAGAGAGAGAGAGAGAGAGTTTGTCTGACAAAAACTGACTTTTACTACTGAAAATAAAATTACGGAAATTCGAAATCTGTCTGACTAAACCCCACTATTTCTACTGATATTATATTTTAAAATAATAAATAAATAAAAGTAATAAAAAATTAATCTAAATAATGAAAAAAATTTCTAATTTCAGGTCGCCCCATAATTCATCCACTTTCACAGAATTTAATGGCATACGAGGGTGAATCATTGGATGTGATAGTTGAATTTTGTGCCGAGCCGTCCTACACAAAGATCCTATGGATGTCGGAGAAATATGTTTACATACCCGGCAGTGAAACACGTGATGGAGTCCACGCGCTAACGATAGAGGTATATATATATATATATATAAATTTATCTCCCCTTACACACACAGACACACACACTCGAAACATATTATTCTTGAGCTTACATCAACCCCACTTTGCTTTCCTTGTCTGGGCAGACGATGCATTTCGCGAATTTGCATTCCACTTGAAAACCGAATTAATTATCGAGCGATTTTCATTTCTTGCGCACGCTTTCTCATTGCTTTTAATCATTTTATTATTATTCTATATATCTTTCTATATTATAAAAAGATTTCGTCGCAGCCGCCGCCGCTGTTTTAGAAATTTTGACCTAGGAGGGGGAGAGTCCCCCCATCTAAATTTTGAGGTTATGTTCGTTTCTAGACTCTGAATATAGCCGCTAGTCCCCCTTCCCTCCTCTCATTTCCGCTCCTCCGACAAAATGGCCTAAATTTTGAGGTTATGTTCGTTTCAAGACTCTGAATATAGCCGCAAGTCCCCTTCCTTCCCCCGCCAGAAATGACCTAAATTTTGAGGTTATGTTTGTTTCAAGGCTCTGAATATAGCCGCAAGTCCCCCCTCCCTCCTCTCATTTCCCCTCCTCCACTAAAATGACCTAAATTTTGAGGTTATGCAAAATTTCAAGACTTTCAATATAGCCGCAAGTGGAGGTGGTGTTCCCGCCAAGAATGACTTGAATTTAAAGGTTATGTTTGTTTCAAGACTTTTTACTAATTTATTGGTTTTTAGGCAATTTTTTGAAAATTATTTTTAAAAATAATTTCTTAATGTCGATTTTAATTAGTTAATTATTTATTTATTATTAATTTAATTAATTTATTAATTAAAATTTAATAATTTTAATTTTAATAATATTTATTCAGATTTCAATGAATTTGTAATAATAATTCTTTGAAATAGGTGGTTCATTTGGAAAAATAAGATCAATGGAAAATTAAAAAAAAATGATTAAAACAGGGGGGTTGGCACGCGAAGCGCGCAGGGGGGCGGAGCCCTCTTAGTATATATATGTATATAGGTATACCTATATTACAAAAATATATCGCCGTTGTTTCAAGACTCTGAATATAGCCACAGGTCCCCAAGATTGCCGCTAGGTTCGAAGCTAAGTTGGGCAGACATAACCTTCAAATTTAGGTCTAATTTTGGCGGGAAATCACCTCACATAACAAATAAGCGAAGATAACCTCAAAATTTGTGATTTTTGACTGTGAATATAGCCGCAAGTCTATAGAACTACCGCTGGATTCGAGTTTTATGTCCGATAGATATAACCTCAAATTTTGGCGGCAAATCTCTTCACTCTAATCAATAAACAAACGTAATTTCAAAATTTAGATCAAATTTTGGCGGGAAATACCACCTTCCTAACCAAGAAACGAACATAACCTCAAAATTTAAGTAAAATTTTGAATATTAGTTCAATGTAGCTTTATGGAAAGTTAATAAACTAGATATACATATTTCAATGATTATACATTCTGGCCAAGGGCACAAAATTTAATGAACGCTAATCAAATACGGATGTAATAGCGAATTCAAATACAGTTGCAAAACAAAATTTTGTTGGAAAAGTAAACTTTATCACAAGTCGGTCAACCGTCTCATTGGCATGAGTAATTGTATTATATTCGTGTAGATTATAAGTTAGATCTCTCTCTCTCTCTCTATCCCTGTTTTTTTTCTCTCACGTCAAATTATTAGCGAAATTTTGTTATTTTGTTTTAAGAACAAAAATTTTATTATATCGATAAAAAATAAAACAAATCAAACGAAATATTTTGGGAAAATTTTCTTCGGAAAGAATTATTATTAGCAAAATGTAGCTATTTTGGCCTAAGAATACCTTAAATGCAATTATTTTAGAATAATATATATTGCATAGCGTAGAAAGGAGAAAAAAATATCCCACATTTTTGTATTGCATTCAAAGTTATGCTAAACAGTCACCAAAGAAAAGAGGATCTGATAATAATTAATGAAGATAATGTGTAAATTGTTTACATTTTGGTTGAAACAAAAAAAAAATAAGCAAAACTTGTTAATAGAGGTAGTATATATAAAAAAAAAAATTAGTTTCTTGATCTCTAATAAGATTATAATCCTCGGAGAGTTCTCAAGTAGAACAGAATGGAGAGGGATAAGTAACGACTTTGTAAAATTAATCAAGTTTGAAGAAAGTTTACTCAATAATGTATCGATTGGAAAGCATTACATTGAATGAATACTTAATAAGGGTCCGTTTAATATTCTTGCTGGAACGAGTTATACGTTAAAACTATATACCCAATGGGAAAAATACCATTGGCGTATTAATGGCCCAATAATGGGAGCCAGGGATGCCAATATAATTCCAATAATGGCACCCAATAATGGACCATTATTGGTAAAGTCATGGGCTGTCCACGCCGATGCCAATGATTGGCAACCATCATTGGCAAATTATTGGCAACCAATAATTAGCCAATATTAAAAATTTTAATAATAATTTTAAAAAAAATTTATATTTTTATTATTTTTTAATAGTTATTATTATTATTATTTTATTTTTAATAATTAAATTAAAATAAAAAAATGGTCATCAAAGTATTAGTGAAACTATTTCTTCCAAAAAAGAGTTTGTCTCAAATCCAATTAATAGGAGAGACATCGGGCAGAAAAAAATTTCGACGAGAAAAAAATTTTAGATCACTGCTTATATACCAATCAAGTGGCATCTCAACTGCGAGAAACAGTGATGTTCGCCCTCCCTTTGCGGCGTTGAGTGAACTAAAGTCCAGAGCTGAGCCATCAGCGCAGCGCGGGAACATTTGAAAAATTTGATTTTATTAGATATTTTATTTTATTTTAAATATGACAAATAATTAACTTAATAAATAATTAATGTCATTAATAATTATTAATAACATAATGTCATACTTAATAATTCGTTAATTATTATAAAATAAAATATCTAATAAAATCAAATTTTTTAAATGTTCCCGCGCTGCGCTGATGGCTCAGCTCTGGACTTTAGTTCACTCAACGCCGCAAAGGGAGGGCGAACATCACTGTTTCTCGCAGTTGAGATGCCACTTGATTGGTATATAAGCAGTGATCTAAAATTTTTTTCTCGTCGAAATTTTTTTCTGCCCGATGTCTCTTCTATTAATTGGATTTGAGACAAACTCTTTTTTGGAAGAAATAGTTTCACTAATACTTTGATGACCATTTTTTTATTTTAATTTAATTATTAAAAATAAAATAATAATAATAATAACTATTAAAAAATAATAAAAATATAAATTTTTTTTTAAATTATTGATTTTTTAAATTATTATTAAAATTTTTAATATTGGCTAATTATTGGTTGCCAATAATTTGCCAATGATGGTTGCCAATCATTGGCATCGGCGTGGACAGCCCATGACTTTACCAATAATGGTCCATTATTGGGTGCCAATGGTTTTTTCATTGGCTCCCATCATTGGGCCATTAATACGCCAATGGTTACTCGTGGCAGTTTCCCATTGGGTATATATATATACCTAAGAGAGAGAGAACGCACTATAGTTCGTCTCGATTTGGAACAGACGTAGGAGCCAAACTTTTTTGCATGCAAGTAGTCGCAGTTTCTTGCTCCATTTAACTCGGCATTTTGTCTTGCCAAACCCTCGTCTTGCGTGTATATATATATATAAATTTATATATAGTATGGGACGAATTCTCAATTCAGCATTCCATTCCTGTGTTCTCTATTCACGGGTTTCTCTCTTCTCAACCCTTCACACCCTACGGGGGGACGACTATTCAAAAGCGACGCTCAATATATTATTCAAGAGCATATCGAAATCGAGCAGCTACAACCTCTCGTGGATTTGCAACGCTTCTGCGGATAGTTCGCGTAAGCTCACGTAAATTCTCTTCGCTTAATTACTCAATGCCAAGTTTCCGAGACACGCTAATAATTGGGAGCAAAACAGGAATTAGTCACTTGAGTAGGTGCAAACTCAATCTCGGCAGCTGAATTCTCATGTTTACGTGTTCTCATGATTTAACTTTATCGTTCTTGGTAGTTATATGCGGGCAAATTGTTATTAAATTCCTATTATAGAAAGAATATTATATAAATATATGTTAATTTTACGATTAGAAACTTATTTCAAAGATGTGCAAACTCAAAAAATGGGCCGCGAAATCCTAAAAATGGTTTTATTATGAAGAAATAATTATCCACTTCTAAGACATAATTATTTACTTCTAAGAAATAGTTATTCACTACTCTCTAAATCTGAATTAGTAAAAAAGTTTACTAATTTGAATTAGTTTTTGCTTCTCAATTAGTGAAATTTTACTAATTATTAGGAACTTTTACTTACAATTAGTAAAATTTAACTAATTCTAAAGCAGAAAGTGAGTCACTAATTTAAATTAGTAAACATTTTTACTTATTCAGATTTAGAGAGTTCTCAGAAATAATTATTTAATTCTACACTGTGAAAAACGATTGGTTGCGATTATCATTTCGTTAGTAAGAGTATTTTTGCTAATTTACATTAGTTACTGTTACCATTTAGTTAGTTAGCCTAACCTTAGTAACACAGAAAATTATATGGTATTAATATAAGCGTTGCAGCTTACTTTAATACCTTTTAATTTTCTGTGAAGATAACTAAATAGTTATTCGAACAAACTAATTAGTTGAACCAACTAATAAAATAGTTATGCAAACCAATAAAAATAGTAACCATAACTAATAAATTAGCAACAGTATAGTTTACTAGTTAACTAACTAACTTACTAACTAAAAATGATCACCTCAAAAATGGTAACCCCAACCAATCATTTCTCTCAGTGTATAAAATAATTATTTAGTTCTAAGAAAAAATTATTATTTATTTCTAAAAAATATAAAGTATTTCAATATTTACAACACTGAGAGAAAAGATTCGTTAGGGTTACCATTTTTAGTTACTAAACTATACTGCTGCTAATTTATTAGTTATGGTTACTATTTTTATTGGTTGGCGTAACTATTTTATTAGTTCGTTTAACTAATTAGCTTTGTTGGAAGAACTCACAGAAAATTAAAAGGCATTAAAATAAGCTGCAACGCTTATTATTTTAATCCAATTTTGCTTATTTTAATACCAAAATGGATTAAAATAAGCAAAATTGGATTAAAATAATAACCGTTGCAGCTTATTTTAATGCCTTTTAATTTTCTGTGCTATTTATTTACCTTACTAAGGTTAGGCTAACTAACTGAATGGTAACAGTAACTAATGTAAATTAGCAAAAATACTCTTACTAACGAAATGATAATCGCAACCAATCGTTTTTCTCAGTGAATAGAAAAACAAATTTATTCAATCGAAATAATCGATTACTTGACTACAACCAAATGAATAATTTAAATAATTATTACTTGAGTCAATTAAATAGTATTTGTTTCAAAAAGACTATTACCAAATGAATAATTTAAATAATTATTACTTGAGTCAATTAAATAGTATTTGTTTCAAAAAGAAAAATTATTATTGAACCAAAATTTATTTAATTCAAATTAAAATTATTCAAGTAAATATTTATTTGATAGTACGTATTCAAAGAAAATTTCTCCATAATTTAATTTCCTATTTCCTTGTTAAAACTGTTTAATTAATTTATTTCACTAATAAAACACCATTTTCTATGATCTTTTGTTTATATTAAATCTCATCTTTTTATCATTTTTTTTAAAAACCAAAAGCGTGACAAAAAAAAAAAATTGAAAGAAGATATTGCCGAACAGGAAACTATCTATAATAACATCCAATATATAAAAGTGTCAAATCAAACATTTTAACAATCCAAAGTTTCTCAAGCGTCAGCAGATTTCTTCGATTGACCGAGAAACTTTTTACTCGATACTTGCACACCAAAGTGAGAAAAAGAAACTCCCCACTCTCCCTCTTTGGAAAGATGTTGAATCTTACTACTTGGCTCTTCTTGAAGAGTAATGAAATCGTTTAGTGATGTTTTTCGCCCCCCTCTCTCCTTCTCTCATTCCTTATATTCTTTCAACTCTTCTAATTTTTTTTTTCTTGACATCGAGAAAAGAGAGAGAAAAATGATTCCGCAAAGAATTCCTCTCTCTCTCTCTCTCTCTCTCTTACACACATAGACCACCAAAGATTTACCGCGTGGATTTTCTTGTATTCTCTCATTTCTCTTTCTCTTTTGCAGGACGGCGGAACGGAGGCGTGTTACAGAACTATTCTACGCTTCGAGTCCATCCAGAGGTCGCACGCCGGGGAATGGCTACTTCTCGTTCGGTCACCGGAAGGGATTGCGGACGCTTCCGTTTTACTGAACGTGACGAGGGCATCCGGCTACAGTCACGCCCACTTCCGATCGCCGAGTCTCACGAATCTTCTTCTTTGCTTGATCCTTGGTTTTCTTCGTCATCATTGAAAATATTACAAACGTATGAAAAATTAAATTATATTAAAAAAAAAAAAAAAAAAAAAAAAAAAAAAAAAAATGCCAACTAATTGAAGATCTTGTTAGACGTGCGTTTTTCATGGAAAATTTAAGTGCGAGCTCAGTATTAAAAAAAAAACAGAAAACAAACCCAATCTCGAGACGCATGAATTCCAAATTAGACCTCACGGAAGTTTTTTTTACGAATAAAAAATTATTCGAATTTTTATTTGGAAGAATTTTATAATGAATTCTTATTTCACTAAAACTTCATTTTCCCGAAATTTCATTTGACCGAAATTGCAAATGTCCGAACAAATATCAAAAAAAAAAGTTCCGCGGGAATATAAGAAATCGCAAATATAAATTCTTCAATATAAAAATTAGTCTCATAATATCTACTTTATAAAATTCTCCTAAATAAAAATTCACTAATTTTTAATTCGACACCAAAAAAAAAAAAAATTCCTACAGATTGAACATTTGTGCGTCACCCTAATCTCCAATACTAAAAATCTTATACAAAAATAGGGAGGGGAGAAAAAAATTTGCCTTCTGACACGATTTTCAAATTTAGTCCACACAATATATTATATATAAATATATATATATATATATATAATAAATACCCTTAAAGTCAAATCAAACTCTTTCATCATCTTTAAAAAATAATAATAATAGAATTTTTTCGTTATTTTATGCAATCAATGTCAAATTGTACAGCTCAAGGAAAAATTATTATTGTCAGAAAAGTTTTCTTCAATTAAAAAAAAAAAACAAAAAAAAAAAACTATAGGTCTTCCTTGGATGCACGTACTATTAATGAATTGAATGCCAATAAACTTGACGGCCTTTATTCTTAAGGTTAAGAAAAGAGAAAGAAAGAAGAAGAAGAAATAAACACTGCATAGTATCAAAATTAAGGATGCCTTTAAAATTATACCTTTTTTTTAATCCGAAATCAAAGAAAATAGGGGAAAATACAATTTAGTAAATAATTAAATTTTACAAAAATAACCGAGAAGAAAGTTTTGTTATTGTTAATAATTAAATTTCAGAATTAACGATAATTAATATATACTAAAGGGTTTTTCTAAACCCGTATATATATATATATATATTCCTAAATATATACTGATAATTATAAGAATTAAAAATAATTTAAAAAAATAATAATAAAATTAATAAAAATAAAAAAAGATATTTTGGAATGAAAAAGTAATTAAAAGCATAGGAAAAAGTTAATAACAAGCTTTCGTGACTTTTAATAAGAACCGTCCTTTCTAAAATTAAAAAAGCAATTTCTTCAAAACTTTTTTGTTCTTAAATAAGAAAAAAAAAAAATTTCCTTTTTTTTCCAATGAAAAACTGCAATCATTGGTGAAAGAAGAAAAGTCCCGTTTTATTTATACAGAGAAAAAGTTAGAATCAAAGATCCATTACTTTAATTATAAAGGAATGTACCTTTAATTCAAAAGAATTGTGCAAAAAAAAAAAGAAAACTTTCTTCCACGGTTATATTACTTTTACTACTATTTGCAATTACTTTGACAAAAGTCTCAATCAAAATCAAAAGTAGAAAATAATTTTATTATATAAAAAAAAAAAAATGTATTTTCCTTGAGAAAAGCAATAATTTGCATCTCTAATGTTGATACATTCAGTGAATAAAAAAGCAAAAAATAAGTGAGAAATGAAAAATGAAAAAAATATGTAGCATAACGCTGGGCTTGTCTTGAGATTATTGCTATATAAATATATTGTCATACTTGTTAAAGCGATGTAAATAATTGTATAGATGATTTGTATGTAGGGCGGAATTTATATATATATACATATATATATATATAAATTATAATGAATAAATAGAATAAATCAAGGTGTATATCAGAAATGTATGAATGTGTGTATGAAACGAAACAGAAAAAAAAAATATACGATGACAAATATTATAAAAGACGTATGGTAAAAAAATAAATTTCATCGAAATCTTTCTACTTGGTGCATTGAAAATAATTCCATAATTCGGATAATAATCACAATTAAATTTAATGCTCAAAATTTTGTAACTTGAATTTTTTTTTCACAAAAATTCTTATTAAAGTTACATTTTGTCGAGCAAAAGAAAAAAAAAATTGTGAATAATCTTTGAAAATTACCTAACTAGAAAGTGTTTAGTGAAATCAAAAAAAAAAAATTGTTTTACCAAATCGCATTTGGTGAATGAAGATAAAAAAAAAAATCTTCCCAACAATTGTGAAGTTACATTCTCGGGAGATATTATAAATATTATAAATATATTATAGGTAAATTAACAAATTGTTGTATATGATCCTAGATAAGTAGATTTGTAACATGTATATAGGAAAAGAAAAAAAAAACTGTAAAGGCTACGGTTAACGTGTGCCGAGCGACGAATTATACAGTAATAATGTTAGAGATATATTTGACATTTGTTGATATATTTTTATAAAGTTTTATTTAGAGATAAGTTCTCATTCGTCTCCCAATTCTTTTAAATGTTATCCTTCAAAAAAAAAACAAACTTTTACGAATTCAGGTTTGAAGCAAAAAAAAATATAGTCGTAAATTGCGTAGAAAAATACACACACACACACACATACAAAACAGATAAATAAAAAAGAGGATAGAAAAATCCTGCGAGTTGAATTTTTCCTTTTTTCTTATTAGGAAAAAAGTAAATAAATTTTAGGTGTATAAATATATTGACTCAATTTTTTAAAATAATATGGGCACGACAAATTTTTTTATTATTATTCGAAAAAGTGTCTAAATGTAAATTTGAATATTTTGAAACAAAAATAAATCACTATCGTCGATTTTATTTTGTAATGCTCTTTCTATCAAAGATGCATATCTAGACACACATACAAATTCAAGTTCCTTTTCATCGATTCGATGTTTTTCCTATACCGCGTTTCATGAGGGTCTTCAAAAAAAAAAAAAAAAACTTATGAATGTGTTCATATGTAATAAACGCTGATTGAGCCGTGCAATAGATCCCGATTGTGAAAATAAAAAAAAAAAAATGAAAACTCACATCAACTGAATAAATAAGTTTTTTGTGCGAAACTTTTTGATATTATTCTTTACCATTTTTTCAAATCCTCCATTTACTAAATGTACTTGATTAAAAATTTTGACTTAATTAAAAAATATTTTTATGATTTTTCTTTTGTTCTCAATAGTCGCGGCCAAATGGTGATGCAAAATTCTGAAAAATAAAATTTTTAACGAATTTATTTTTTTTTGTATTTTATTTTAATATTTGGTTTTATTTTAAAGTGAATTTTTCAATTTAAAGGATATTTAAAAAAATGAAAGGTAAGTAAATATTTTATGGATATTACTAATAAAACTAAATTTGTCTGACTAAAACGGTATTTGACTACTGAGAAAAACAAATATTAGAATACGGAAAAAATTATGAATAAATTTTTACTACTGATTTGAATTTTACTACTGGTACAAAAAACAGAATAGAAATGTCTGGCTATATCTGACTTTTACTACTGATATTAAAATTACCAATATTGGAGAATTTCTGATTAAAATTTATATGAACTACTAATTTTAAATTGTCTGACTAAACGTTATCTTTTGCTACTGATATAGAAACATTTAAAAATTCGTCTCATTAAAATTGACTTTTTCTACTGATTCTAAACTTAAGAGAATTAAAAAAGTCTGTCGGACTAAAATTGAACCTTTACTAAAACTACTAAAATACTATAATACTAAAATAATAGTTTAGATACTTAAATTGCTAAAATGTGGAAATATTTCAAAAAATTCTGTCTGACTAAAGCTGATTTTTACCACTGGGGATTAAATTACGAAACGAGTAAAAATGTGTCTGACTTAATATTGCTTTTACTACATAATAGAACAAAAAAATTCAGAATATGTTTGACTAATTTCTTTTACGATTTATAACAATTTAAAAAAAAAATTAATCTGTCTGACTAAAAGTGACTTTTACTACTGTCATCAAAACTTAAATGAATTAAAGAAACAAAAAAAAGTTTTTAATATAAAAAAATGAATAAAAAAAAATTGTTAAATAATTTTTACTGTTGCTACTTAAAAAAAAAAATTAAAACACATTAAAATTATTACATAAGAAAGAGAAAAAAAAAACCAGTATAAAATCTAATTTTTAGAAAAAGGAAAAAAAAAATTGTATTACTCCAAACAATTTGATTTGAGGAGCATTAAAAGTTTCGTGATTTTCAGTTACTTTTTCAAACATGAAGAAATTTATTATGCGTAACTTTAAATCCTTTTTCCGCCAATAGTTTTCGAACAATTGAACGCGTTTATGTATTCGCTATGTAGTATTCGCCTGGAAACATAAAGTGATATCACGCTATCGACAATATTCAAGTTATTCCATATAAGGTACTCAAGAAAAAAACAGTCTTGTCAGAAAAATATGACTTCAATATTGCAACAATAAAAATGCATTTTGATTTTTTATTTCATTTTCGCTATATATATCGTATATATATACATATATAAGCGAAAAAAATATTCCAAGGTAAAGGATAAAAAAAAATATTTGATTAAAATTATATATTTGACAATTATCAAAAAAAAATATTTACATGAATAAAATAATTTTTATTTTTCAATTATAATTTCCCCTTTAAAACTAATTTTCTGGTTCTGGGAAAATCTCGGATTTTTTTTCAGAAAATATTTTTCAATTATAATTTCCCATTAAAACTGATTTTCTGGTTTTTGGAAAAATTCATATCTCGACACTTTGATTCGTTTTTTCGGTTTTCTTTTTTTTTTTTTTTTTTTTTTTTTTTTGTTCTTTTGTCGAAAAATTATCTGAGGCTCTTAAAAGATAATGTCATTAGCCTTTGTGAGAGAACGGAAGTAAAAGCGTTAATTAACAAGGGGGTCTTCATCTTTCCCGAGCGAGAGATGGTTGAGAGAAAAGAGTTCGAATAACCGTCTCTCCCTCTCTCTCTCTCCCTCTCATGGTAGAGCTAGTAAATTACTCTTAACTTTCTTGGTTGGCTTGATACGAAAGAGGGGAGGGGAGGGTGAATGAAGGGAGGTTTCAGGAAAAGAGTAAAAATTACAGAGTTCCAAGGCTTACAAAAAAAAAACCAGTTTCCTCCTCCCGCGGAGGTCGTAATTCTTTTCCTATCTACACACAAACCCTGACCTAGTCGCCCATGGGAATCACGCGTCATTTATTTATTTTTCACATCTCTTCAAAACAATAGAAAGAAAAAAGAAATTTCTATTCCCGCAATACAACATTTGTAATTAATTCACATATACAAAAAAAAATTGTAAAATAAAATCAAATTATACAGAAATTAATTTTTGAAATAAAGAAAAAAATTTTTGAGGTTTTTTTTTAAGGGAAATTTTTTTCCCAAGGGGGTTTGAAAATTTTTTTTTTCAGTTTTATTATAATTAATGTTTAAATCATATTTACTGGGAAAAATTTTTTTTGTGATATTTTAACTCAAATTGTAAACAATAAGAATTGGTACCAAGTGTCAGAAATAAAATTGAGAATGAATTTTTTTTTTTTTTGCTGCCTTCCTGTTGATTTAAGAAACTTCATTGGGAGAACTAGTTTTTGTTTGTTTGCCGAGAATATACTGACAACAAATTTCTTTTGTAGACGGATTAAGACCCCTGAGGAGTTTGCACAATAGTCTGAAAGATCCTTTTCCTAAAATATGCAATTTCACTCTTATCGTAAATCATCAATTTTATTATACCTTTCATCTCATTAATCTATAGCAGAAATTTTCTCGTATTTTTCAAATCTTCGTGAAAATTATAATGATGTTTTTTTTAACAATAAAAAAGAAAATTTATTAAAAATTTATTATTTGATATCGAAAGAGTAAATACTTAAAATTAAAAAAAAAAAAACAATATTCAAATGTTAATTAATTTTTTAGTTTTAATTCCTTTTCGTTTTAATTTCCTTTTTTAGAACAAATTTCCCTAGTATTGCATGGAGATATAATATATTCTGATTGATTTTACAAGCTATTCTAGATCACTATTTACTAATTAGGTTTTAATTAAATATTCACGTAATTGTATCATGTTCATTCATTACCGTTACGGAAATTTGATTATTTTGTTCTATGTAATGTGAAACTTTGACTTTTGTTTCAAAACAGTTTGTGTGCTAATATCAAATCTAATAACAATGTTATATAATAATATTGTAAACATAATATTCAAAAAGTGGATTAAATTTTTTTTTTTTCTATTATAGAATTTTATTTTATTTATAATAATATTATGAATATAATATTCAAAATATTATTATTTCAATCATAATTAAATTGTATTTGTTTAAAATACAGAAATTATTATTGATTCATAGTTTACTTAATTCAAAAATAAAAATTACTTAGTTCAGATAAATATTTATTTGATCGTCAAGTAATCGATTACTTGCATCAAATAATTTTTTTTTTCGTTGTAAATAAATAATTAAAATAATTTTTTTTTCTTCCTTTTCTAAGTTGACGAAATGAGGGAAACTTTTTTCTCTCTTAAAAAAAAAAGGTAAGTTCAGTTTTAATGAAGTAATAAAAATTCCTATGATGAAGTAAAAAATTGAAATCAGCTTTACTAAAAAAGAAATCTTTGATATCGTGAAATTTAAAAGAGATGTAAATGCCTTTTAAGTCCTGTTCTCTCTCTCTCTCTCTCTCTCTCTCTCTCTCTCTCTCTCTCTCTCTCTCTCTCTCTCTCTCTCTCTCTCTCTCTCTCTCTCTCTCTCTCTCTCTCTCTCTCTTTATGAATATATATATATATATATATATATATATATAACATAAAGTCTGAGAACATTAATGAGTCTAAAATCCTTCCGATTTCAATATCCTCCCCCTTTTTTTTGCGTATATAATCTCACTTGCAATTCATCGACATCGCACAAGTGCTAAATCTTTTCTCATTTACTTTTTTTTTTTTTTTTAAAAAAAAAGAGAGGAAAAAAAACTCGAGCCCCCTCGTTGAAGGGTCAATTTTATTTCCCTGTACTTTTTTTTCCCTCGCCTTGCTTCGTATTAACTGCATCGAGAAAGCTTCGGCAAAGATTCTTAAAATCACAGGTTTGACGGTAGTGGTAAGCGATCCTTGAATAGTCAATGTGAAAATTCTGCTCTAAATGCTAATTTCCCTATCTTCCACCTTCATTCACGGAGCTTTGCCAAAGAGCACTTAAATGGTGACCGAGCGCTGCAAACTTCTTACCTCTCAATGAGCTTAAGATATCAAATTATACAAAATAATAAAGTAAATGTCGTCATTTTCAAAGTGTAAAATAAACTTTACTAATCAATGGAGGCGGTCGAATGCAAAATTGTTAATTTTCCACGAAACATTATTAACCCCCCCCCCCCCTTCCACCACCACAAAATCAAATTATTGGATTAAACTTGAGAACTAATCTTAAATTTTCATTGTTTATTCATATATTTAAAAACGAATTTTCTCGATTGCTTTTGTCTTCCTATTAATTTGAATGAATTATTAACGTTTAAATTAATATAATAATTAATATTTAAAATTACAAAAATGGAAATTATTTTTTTGTTTTTTTTTTTTATTAAAAAAATGTGTCTTCTTATTTTCCTCCAAGAGGCATTGTTTGGATTTTTCACAACTTTCTTATTTTAGATTTGCCTCAGGCAAAATGAAAGGAAAAATGTGCACAATTTCATATTATAAATTACAAAAATTCCATGAAAAATTTAAAATGAAACCAAAGAATGCATAAAAAAATGGTTTTAATATTATTTATTGTGAGAAATGAATTTATATATAAATATATAATAGAAATATTAATTGCTTTCAAGAATTTGTTTTTCTCTTTATTATAATTATTTTCATTTAAAAAAAAATTTTTTTTCTCGTGATATTATTATATTAATAATAATTATTTTATTATTTTAATGTTAGTATTATATTTATGTTACATTTATATGACAGTAAGTACTCACAGTGAGGATTTGATCTATTCAGTGCCTGAGGATTGATTTAACTATATAGTGCCATATTAATTATAATTATTACCGAATTTCTAATTACATGATGTCACACCTGTAGTACAATTACAGGGTTCTAACCATGAGGAATTGATTTTCCACTGCGGGAGAACTATCTCTCTGACTGACACTGTGAAAAGTCATTATCGGCTGAGAACACAGTTTCTATTGAAACAATCATACCAACATACATATATATATATAATGTACTTTATGTAACGCGACAGATTTCAATTAAATTTATTTTATTATTCCAAACACTTATCAACTTTAAATTGGAAAAAGTTATACAAAACTAATTTTCTAATATTAAAATTAATTCAGACTTTAATTATTTTAAGTAATTTTTAATTTTCTTTTTTTTGAAGTACTTGGCTACTTTTTACAATTTTTAAAGCTTTTTACAACTAGGTAGAAAAATTAACATTACTAAAGTTACTAATATTACTAACGTTAGTATCTATAAAAAAATTAAGAAAATGTTTCTAAATTGTATTTTTGCAGAAACTTGTCCAAAATCGACCACCAGGAAGTATTTAATGTTCTTACCCGCACTTTTTATAATTTTCATTTCTATTATCACTTTCACTTTTTTATTTTCATTACCGTTTCCACTTTCACTTTTTCTAATTCTTATTCTCATTTTCACTTTCACTTTTTTTAATTTTCATGCCCATTTTCACTTTCACTTTTTTATTTACATTACCACTTTCACTTCCACTATTTCTAATTTTCATTCCCATTTTCACTTTTTTTTTCATTACCACTTTCACTTCCACTTTTTCTAATTTTTATTCCCACTTCCCTTTTTCTAATTTTCATTCCCACTTCTACTCCCATTTTTCCCACTTCTAATTTTCATTAGCTGTTGCCATTTCGACTAAAACTCTTTCTAATTTCCATTTACACAACCATTTCCACTTTTTTAATTACCATGGATGGAAATTAGAAAAAGTGAAAGTGATAATGAAAATTTAAAAAATTAGGAATGAAAGTGGGAGTGAAAATATAAAAAAGTTGTAATGAAAATAAAAAAGTGGAAGATGAAATGGGAATGAAAATTGGAACAAGTGGAAGTGAAAGTGTGAATGAGAATTAGAAAAAGTGGTAGTGGCAATGAATATAAAAAACTGGAAGTGGAAATAGGAATGGGAATGAAAATTAGAAAAAGTGGAAGTGGCAATGAATATAAAAAAGTGGAAGTGGAAATGGGAATGAAAATTAGAAAAAGTGGAAGTGAAGTGGGAATGAGAAAGTAGTGGCAAAGTTTCTGTGAAAATATATTTTAGAAACTCTTAATTTTTTTATAGGTACTAACGTTAGTAACGTTAATTTTTTCACCTGGGTTAATAAATTTGACAATCGAAATTATGAATTCTAAAAAATAATTAGCTCCCTTTAGAAATAAAATAAATATTCTTTTTCGAACAAAAATTTTTTTTTTTTTTTTCATAAATATAAAAAGGATGTATTGTGAAAATTTAATTTTCTTCGGATTTCAATGAGAAAGGTTTTTGCTGTAAAACTCTCTTATATGCCATGCGTATTCGATATCACATCATCACTTTCCCGGAGTTTCAATAAAATTCAATTTTCTCGACCATGAATTGACTGGTGATTGGCTGCCGCCAGGAAGTTCGTCTCGTCGTCTCGCTCAATTCCCGAACCCAATTCCTGGGATGCGTGTGTATATACATACTACTCTGTTGATACCTTCATTCTAACTTTTGAACGTTCAACTTTTGCGATTTAACCTCCGCGCGCGAGAGATAAAAAGAATTCCCCTTCAAAAAAAAAAAAAAGAAAAGAAAAGAAAACTCTCAACATTCGACGTTTTTGGAACCATGTAAAATCTGGAACTTTTCTACTAGTGGGAGAATACTATTATTAGATTAATACTAATAATACGGCTATCAAAAAATTTTTATTTTTAATATTCTGCACAATTTTTCATATACAAAACTTCGTATATCAAAAGTTTATGTAAATAAAAATATAGTAAATTTTAACGACCTTTTTTTGAAAAGTTTATCAAAAATTTACGAATTGGAAATTGGAGTTTGTACAAATTTTACAAAAATATTTACATATACTGCCAACAATGTAAATTGCAAAAAAAAAATTAATTTTACACGACAAATATTTTGAGAACATTTTGAAAACTATAAAAAAAAATTTTTTTACTTTTATTTATTGAATAAATAAAATAGTGTGGAATAAATTTTTATTTACTAAATTTATTTATTGAATAAATAAAATAGTGTGGAATAAATTTTTATTTACTAAATTCATTTATTTAATAAATAAAATAGTGTGGAATAAATTTTTATTAACTAAATTTATTTATTTAATAAATAAAAATAAAATTTTAAAAAAACATACACAAATGATATATTGTTTGTTGAGAAAAAAATTAATAAACACGTTTTTTTTTCCTTCACACTCTATAGATTCGTATCTAAATTGCTTTAATTAGATTAAAAAAAAAAAAAAGAATAAAAAGATTTTTCTTCTACCTCGAGTGGCTTTATTTCCATTATCTGGCAATGATTGTATTATTTTTTTTTTTTAACAAAAAAATGTATCACATTAAAAATTCCATGCATCAATGTCAGATTGGTCGTAAGAAGAAATTACCTTATCACCTTGTGCCACTGAGCCCGTATATTTGACTAAAGAAGGTGAATGAAAATGAGTGTGTATTTGAATTTAATGCGACTGATAAGACACAATTTTATTTCACGAACACCGGAAGGAAGTATTCACATTCTCAAGTTTATATTTTTATTTTTCATATTAAAAAAAAAAATTTTTTATCGTGTTTTTTTCATTTAAATTTTATTATAAGATGAATATGATTAATATATTTTATTATTATTACTTATTATTTATTATTATTATTATTATTATTATTATTATTATTATTATTAATATTTTTAATTCTAATAACAACGCTACCTAGTTATTATTTTAGATTTTCAAAAATATTTATGTTATATTTTTGAATTATATAATAGTTTCTTTAATTTAGTACTTTGGAAAGAAAGGGCTTGTTTTTTCTTTTTGTAAGCCCGTATAAATGTAAATAAATTATTATTAATATTAATAATATAACATTTGGTAAAATTTGTAATTATATTATTATTCTATTATTTAATGTTAATATAATAATATTAGTAATATAATAATAATAATGAAATAAAAAAAATGTGTATTTTACCAAATGAAAAATGTAAACAAACGTATAAAATTCTTTCTCGTTATTGAAGATGATAACTAGATTAGAAAAAGATGATTTTTTTCTCAAATAGGTCAAGTACAAACTGTGTTCCATATTTCAAAATCTACATCATCTCTTGTGCGGGTAATCACAATTATAACACAAGAGAGTTAATAAAGATAAGAGATTAATATTAAAGACATTCTCAATTTTTTCCTTGAAAATAAAAAAAAAATAATAATAATAATGAACGAATAATTAAGACAGTATAAACAAAAATATAGAAATTTAATTCAAAAAAAAAATAATCTTGAAATAGAATTTTCCTAAAAATATTATCCTTGTTTATTACAATAAAATATATTAATTTAATATAGAAAATATTAATAATTAATTAATTTAAATATTTACTGGTAACAAATAATTTTTGAAATAAAAATAATTGAATTAAATAAATTGTATATTGTACCAAAAATTTCTCTATTTAAAAGAAATACCATAATAATTATTTAATAGTAATAAATATTTATTTGATAATAGTCAAGTAACTTGCAAATAATTTTTTTCAGTGTATTGCTAATAATAATAATTAAAAAAAAATTAATTAATTATAAAAGAGGATTTGAGAAATAAATAAATGAAAATAAATTTCAATTAAGACGAAAAAAAAACGAAAAAAAAATATATTGATGAGGACAACAAATTTCCTAATTCTGAGGGTAATTGAACTTTGCGATGTAGGAAAGAGAGGATGAGAGAGAGTGAGAGAGAGAGAGAGAGAGAGTAAAAGTGATTAAGCGTAGAGACAATCAACTAACGACAATTATCGTCAATTGAACCATGAGCTTGGTGTTCATGAAAGGTGATTATGGTATGACGTATGGTGACGTTGATCAGATGCCCGGATGTCAATGCGGTCGTTGTTTCACGATTTCGACATTACTGACTTATTTACCTTGGCAATTAAACTCTAAATCCACGGTCACGCAGGTGTATACACGCAACGATGGAACATATGTATATATATATATACGATGCTAACATTATATATGCTCTCACGTATATTATCTACAAACTCTTGTTTCTTCTGATAACAATACCCGAGAGCAAATCAAAATTAGTTTCCGATATATCGCTCTTTCACTGAAAAAAATAAACTGGGGGTGGGGATTACACATAAAATGCAGTCAATCTTAATATATAAAGAACTAACAAACTTCAATTATTCTCTTCAATTCTCTTTTTTTTTTTTGCTTCTCAGTATTTTTATTTTAGTACGGACAAAATTCTATTAATTTTTTTTCTCATTAACTGTTTATTTTAGTACAAACAAAATTTTAATTTCTTTTTTTTAGTTTGTTTTTAAATTCTAATTTTTTTCAATATTTTTTATTCTAAGAAAAACTTTTTTTTAGTAATTTTTAATTTAGTAAAAAAAAAATGACCAAACGGGCGTGCGTAATTTTAGTGCTTTTTGGATTAGTTCCACTTTTTGTCAAGGGACATATAAACCGTAAGTTTTGAATTATTACAAAATTTAAATTAATTTCGAATATATTTTATTTAATATTGTTTCTCTCTATTCATTATTGTTAATAATAATTTAAATATTTATTTTTGTCAAAAATAATATTTAATTTTTAAGTAAAATAATAAACTAATAATTTTTCTCATTTTAAAATTTCTTTTTTTTTGGGGGGGGGAATATTAGTTTCAAAGTGATATTTATAAGTAAATGTTTATGATTATGCCGGAAATGGTAAAAAAAAAAAAAAAAAAAAAAATGAAATCGATAGAAAAAGTAAAAATTACACTTATAACGATTCGATGCTTTCCCCAACTGAACTCGATTTAACGAGGCGGAATGTGAAACAGAACGGAAGTTAATGGAGAACTTTGTCGCAAAGTGGAAGAACCGGAAGTTAATAAACCAAAATTTATACGTTTGACATTTGACTTTAGTATTTCTTTCAGCATCAATGCATATGTAAAAAAAAAAACTGATTTTTTGTTTATTTTTTAATTACCGACCTTTCAATTTCATCAATCGCTTTTTCTGAAACATTTGACATTATTTTCTCTATTTTTAGTCATTTTTCACTAAAAAATTTAGTAAAAAAAAAAAAAAAAAATTACTAAATCAAATAGTAATATTTTACTACCAATTAGTGAAATTTTTTACTAATTGAGAGTTAGTGAACGAATTTACGCTTATTTTTTTATTTAAAGTGTAAATAAATATTCATGAATAATAAATAATTATATTCAATAATATTTTAATTAATAATAATAATAATATAAATAATAATGATGATGATGAAAGTTGAATTAATTTATTATGACAATAATTGTGAATAAATCTATTGTGAAATGACATAAAGCAAAATGTTTTTTAAAAAATTATAATAAAAGAGGAAAACAATAATTTCGTCAACGAATGTTAAATTTTCGCGCTAACTTTAAATCCTCTCCAATAACAATTTTGAAAATCAGTTATTTTGAAATAATGTTTGCAATATAGAATCAGTCAATCGTTATTATTGTATTACATGGAACAAAGTTAGGTGATGCAGAATTTCACGCGTTGTAATTTCTCTCTAGAGCTGAAAAAGCTCCACTGCAAATACGGAAGTACAGTAATTATCATACATTGATTGCATATAAACCTCATGTGCTTTATATATGTATATATATATATAAGAATGAAAATGCATTATAATTTGTATTTTCCAAATGACAATGTGACAAAATACAAAAATTATTTTTCCTCTTTTAAAAATTATAATTTCATCATTATTAATTACTTTTTTTATAATTAAAAAATTATTTAAAAACAAAAAAAAAAAGAAAAATTTCAAAAAGTAAATAAACTAAGGGGAAAATTTAAATAAATTCAAAACAATGAATAAAAATTGGAAAGAAAGGTTAATTTAAAATTTTTGAATAATAAAAACTAAAAGTATATAACCAAACTGAAATTAACAACAAGGAATAAATTTCTCAGTGACACGTTACTTTTATTGTACCAGTGGGTCCGATTGTTACGCGAGTAGTTTCATTTCTCCAACTCAGTCTATTTGGAATTTTTTTTTTTTTTTTTTGTAACAAAAAATAAAAATTAGTTTTTCACACACACACATACACACATGGAAAAAATAAATTAAAACCTCTTGTAAATAGAGAGAAAATAAGATGAAGAAAAAGTATATTGTTTTCCTTTTTTTTTTTTCCCTCGAAAGTAACACTATATCACCTTGAGCATCAAAGGCTCATTTCAAAGTTATATAATCGGTGGCATCCCACAAATCCACGTTATCTTCAAAGACTTTGCGTATATGGAGAATTCGTAATTCGTTTGAACGAGACCGCTAAAGGTTTATCCAAAGGTGAACGGCTAATCCTCTCAAAGCAACTAGCGTCATGTACGTGTATTTCCCCTCCCCCATCCCTCACGATAAGGTTGACTATATCGATTTAATTGAAACTTGAAACTGACGCCACACGTCTATCGGAATGCTAATCGATTCAGGTGCTGAAGGATCCTCTGCTATATGTATGTGTGTGTGTGTGTGTGAATTTAATGCCCAACCATAGGGATAGTTATACGGTGGATCTGTCATCACAATCCCTGTGCCATACAGGCCCACGTTTCACGCCCCGGCTGATTAATTGAACCTCTAAACCCGTCCAATAATATATACACACATATATATATATATATAGAATTCCAAGTCGTCTCTATTCGGAAACGCGTAATAGATATGTCAAAAGCAGGTCGAACACGATCATGATAATATGCTAATATTTTGACGTTCCTTCGTTGTCAACCTAGGATTAACTTGATAAGATGTGACGTACACGCATAAACACACTAATGTGCTTATATGTTATTCCTCTCAAAAACTTTCTTGAACATCAGAAAGTCGAGTGACATGTTGCCCTTTCAATATTGGCTTTTCTTCCTATCAGATTGCAGATCAACTTTCTTTATAAAGCTAGATTATATGTATATATATATATATATATATCAAGAGAGACAAGAGAGAGTATTATTTTTGTATATTTATTTTTCCAAGTAGTGAATAACAAAATATTGAAGAATATTAAGAAGAGGCACAACCTTTTCTTTTTTGAAAATCCACACAACGCAGATTCTAAAAATTATTAAAATTAATTTCTACTACTATTTGATTTCTAATACTAAAAAAATTTTTTATTTACAATTACGAAAATTGGTAAAAATATGTCTAACTGAAAATTACCTTCACTACTGATAGAAAAATAAACAGAATTCAAAGAATTTTGATGACTAAAACTGCTTTTACTACTCATACTAGAATTACAATCTGTCCAACTGAAACGTATTTGTAGTACTTGAACAAGAATTTAATTGCTAAAATTTTCTGCCTGACTACAATTAATCTTTACTACTAATACGAAAAAATAAAGTAAATAAACAATAATATCAACTGAAATTTATTGCTAAAACTACTAAATTTACTACTAATTCTACTAAATTCACAACCACTCTCTAAATCTAAATTAGTAAAAATGTTTACTAATTTAAATTAGTGACTCAATTTTTGCTTTAGAATTAGTAAAATTTTACTAATTCAGAGGCAAAAAGTGAGTCACTAATTTAAATTAGTAAAATTTTTTACTAATTCAGATTTAGAGAGTAATTCTACTAAATTTACTACTGATACTAAATTGTCCTACTGAATTGTATTTTTACTAATGATACTAACAATAAAATTATCTAAATAAGAATAAATCTACCAAGACAGAAACGCACATTTACTACTGATTACAAATTGTCTGACTAAAATAACCTTTAACTACTAATAAAAAATATTACCAACAAAATTTTGAAAATATTACGATTTTAAAATTTATACTACAATTATAAGAATTGTAACAAATTTGTCTAATTAAAAGTGACCATTACTACTGATTAGAAAATTAACTGACAGTGATGTCTGACTAAAAATAAACACTAACTACTAGTAGTAAATTATTCAACTAAACTGGCCCTTAAATATTCATAGAAAATTTAAGTAGAATTCAAAAATTTCTACTATTGAGAATAAAATCAGAAAAAACAAAAGGAAATATGCCTGACTGAACATTACCATTACTACTGATAAAAAATATTAAACAGTATTTTGTACTGGCTAAGATTTGCTTTTTTGATTACTAAATATGATATCTACTACTATGAGTAAAATTACTAAAAAATTAAATTATTAAAGTGATTAGTTGTTAAATTACTAAAGTAGTTAGTTAATAAATTATTAAAGTAATTAGTTAATAAATTACTAAAGTAATTGGTTACTAAATTACTAAAGTAATTGGTTATTAAATTACTAAAGTAATTGATTACTAAATTACTAAAGTAATTGATTACTAAATTACTAAAGTAATTGATTACTAAATTACTAAAGTAATTGGTTACTAAATTACTAAAGTAATCAAAAATTCTAAAACAAACAAATTAGTATAGAAAAAACTGCAACCTTTAAGAAACTAAAAAATACCATACTCTCTAAATCTGAATTAGTAATTTTCTACTAATTAAAGAGTGCGTATTCGTTTACCAAATGAATTAGTAACAGTTTTGACTAATTTTTAGTAAAAAACTACTAATTGCTAGAAGAAAACTACTAATTTATGAAAGTAAATCGGCTTACTAATTTAAAGTAGTAAAAAATACGACTTACTAATAAATTAGTAGTTTTCTACTAACAATTAGTAGTTTTCTACTAAAAATTAGTCAAAACTGTTACTAATTCAATTGGTAAACGAATACACACTCTTTTACTAGTAGAAAACTACTAATTCAGATTTATAGGAGTACTGATAAAACTTAAAATAAAAAAAGTGTCTGACTAAAACTGCCTACTACTACTTAGAACATAAAAATTCGTCCTATTATACCTGCTTTTTCCGCTATTGATTCACATTTTTTAAAACCAAAATTTTTAACTTTAATTATCTTTTTATTGTTAATTTTTTAAAAATCTATAAAATTTTCGTGATCATTCATAACTTCTCAATATAACGTGCTACTAGTGAATTGCTTTCTCCCTTACATATATAGAGAGAAGTATTTTCAGCTTAATTGACCGTTTTACCTAAATCCGACTTTCAACAATGAGTTGGTCGGTAGCAAATACTCTCGGTATTAATAACACGATGAATGCGAACAGTTTACAACATCTTAATTAAACAGAGACCTTGAATACCAACTTACTCGCTCAATATACATATATATATATATGTATATATACATCATATAATGGAAATATTTGAAATGCAATCGTATAGGTCGAGTGTCGAGATGAAATCGTGTTCTGATGGAATGAATATTAGGAATTCGCAACCAAGCACGAATTGCAAATGCCAACCAGTATCCTAATTCTGTCTAGTTTCATGCTAAGCCATATCCCACGTGACCAATAGGCGCTCACAGTCAAATATTTCATATCAAACTTTAATTTAAATATTCTTAAAACAATTATTTTTTAGTTTAATTTTTTTTTAAATAATCTATCAAATCTTATTTATGTGATAGAACAAAATTTTATTATTATTTATAATTAAATAATGGGTGAATGAAACTTAAATGGGTGAAAAAAATTTTACTTTCTGTCAAAAAAAATCTAAAACGAATATTTTCCGCTATAGCGCTTATTAAAACTCTTAAATCTTTCGTTTCATTTAATTTTCAACTTTAATAACACACAGTGTGCACTTCAAAACTATTATCTTTTAAAGCGCGTGGAGCTTATTCGTTAAATTCTGAGAATAGTAAGAGAAGCGACGCGACGGTCTGCAACATATATACAGTATAGTGCAGGTTATTGTAATTGTGGTAAGCTATATGGTTGTAGACCCGTTATTCGTATGTTTACCGCAATTGCGGTAACTGTTATTGTTCACTTCTCCCTACTGCACATGGGAAATATATTCTAAGCATTCAAATACATAGAATACACACATATATATATATAGAACATATTTTCTACAAACAATACTAGAGTATTGTATTTTCTTTATCTTTCAATCATATCTATATTCATGTACGGAAAAGGTCAGGAGAAATATTAAACCCCTTTCTTGAACTGGAGATTTATGGTATTTTTGTATTCACATAAGTAGTAAAAGACTGGTTTAGTCAGACATGACTATTTCTACTTTTGATAATTTTTGTATCTGTAGTGAAAGTGGGATTGTCTTTGGTTGAAAGTGATTTTTCCTACTGATACAATGATTTAGTTTTTATAATTTTGGAGTCAGTAGTGAGAAGCACTTTTAGTCAGACATTTAATTCTTACAATTTTTGCCACAGTAGTAAAAGTAAGTTAGATTACAAGTTTTTATAATTTTGGAATTAGGAAGTTTTTCTAATTAAGACAATTTTACTCTCAGTAGTAAAAGTAAATTTCAGTCAGACGTAACTTTTCCAAATTGCAGAATTTTTAAAATTCACTATTGACACTCAGTTTTAGTCACACACAAATTGAGTTTTTTTTTAATTTTTGTTTTAAGTAGTAAAGGACAGATTTTGTCAGACACACAATTCTTGCAATTTTGGTCCCAGTAGTAAACGTGAGTATTAGCCAGACAAAAATTTCCAAATTTTTTAATTTTAGAATCAGAAACAGACATAGTTTTTCCAAATTTAGTAGTGAAAGTAAATTTCAGTCAGACAGAAATAGATTTTTTTTTAAATTTACATCAGTAGTACAAGATACTTTTAGTCAGACATCCAATTCTTAGAAATTTAGTCCCAATGGTAAAAGTAAGTTTCTGTTCGACATTAACTGAGTTATTATTGTTTTGGTATCAGTAGTAAAAAACGACTATAGTCAGACGTTATCATTCACATTTTTGCTATTTTACTTTTTGTAGTAGATGTGAGTTTTAGTCAAACAGAACTTTTCGAGTTTCTATAATTTTTGAAAGAATAATTGATTTTTAAATTCAGCTAATTTTAGTCCCAGTGGAACAAGTTAGTTCTAGTCAGACATAACTTTTACCAATTGCAGAGTTTTTATTTTCAGTAGTTAATGTGTGATTTAGTCAGACAATTTTTCCAATTTGTAAAATTGTGGTACCAGTAGTGAAAGTAAATTTCAGTCAGACAGAAATAGATTTTTTTTTTGAAATTTAGATCAGTAGTGAAGAATACTTTTAGTCAGACATCCAATTCTTAGAAATTTAGTCCCAGTGGTAAAAGTAAGTTTCTGTTAGACATTAACTGAGTTATTATTGTTTTGGTATCAGTAGTAAAAAACGACTATAGTCAGACATTATTATTCACATTATTGCTATTTTACTTTTTGCAGTAGATGTGAGTTTTAGTCTAACAGAACTTTTCAAGTTTCTATAAATTTGAAAGCATAATTGATTTTTAAATTCAGCTAATTTTGGTCTCAGTAGAACAAGTTAGTTCTAGTCAGACATAACTTTTCCCAATTACAGAGTTTTTATTTTTAGTAGTTAATGTGTGATTTAGTCAGACAATTTTTCCAATTTGTAAAATTGTGGTACCAGTAGTAAAAGTAGTTTTTAGTCAGACGAAACAAAATTCTTGTACCGTTAACTCAGTAGTAAATGTCGTTTTTAGTCAAACATAATATAATGCTTAGAATTCTTTCTTAGTAGTAAAAATGGTTTTTAGTCAGACAGAACATAGTTTTTGTAATTTTAATTCAGTAGTAAAAGTCATTTTCAGTCAGACGAAACATAATTCTTGTAATTTGAACCCCAGTAGTTATAGACAATAACAGTCAGACAATTCCTCAAAGTCAAATCGAAAATTGATTTTTGAAATCAACAATATAAAATATAAATAATGATCAACTGAATCCGTTTCGGTTTTCGTGCTATAATGTTATATACTATTGATTCACGATTAAAATAATAGAAGTGATCTGAAAATTCAATCTATATATATATATGAAACGTGATTTAGTTGTTGAAAATGAACATTATCCCCATCACTGATTACGCAACAATTGAAATTTGTATATAAACGAGAAATTGCGCACTGTTGTAATTAATTATAATACTTGTGACAAATGAATAACGCGGAAATTCGCAATTGATCACAGTGGCAGATGTCCCCTGCGGTCATGGTGCAACCAGGATACGTAACGCCCGAGTGGTCGGAGGCCAGGACGCCATACCACGTGAATTTCCTTGGCTGGTGAGCATCACAAGGAAAGGAGGACACTGGTGCGGTGGCACAATTCTCAACTCGAAATTCATTCTCACTGCTGCACATTGCTTTTGCTCGTAAGTGGTTTGCTTTGTTATGGAACGATAAATTCAAACCCCTTTTTGCTACTTGCTTTTGGATGAAGGGAGGGGAAGGGGAAACCACTTTTCCCATCCACCAAAATAGTAAACTCAAATTCAAATTACAATGAAATTAACAATCTTCACACATACAATACAATATACATTTCTGTATATTTACGCAATATAAAAGACAAAATTTTTGTTTCATATTATATTTTTTAATTTAAAAATAAATTTTTGTTCCTTTTGTTCTTTGAATTTTTAATTTTAATCAGTTAGGTAATTTGTTTTTTTTTATCGCGTGTCTGCTATAGCTGGAAATTTATAATAGAATATTGATATTTTTGACAATAATAAATAAATATTTATCATTGTTATTATAAATATTCAATTCTTGTTTATAAATTATTATTTCTCAATAATTCAACAATTGCTCACAATATTTAATTACATTTTACATAATAATAATAATAATAATAATAATAAATCATTTAAAATTGATTGACTGATCGTTACATTTTCAGTACCTTTTAAAAAGAGTCTCTTTTCACAAATAATTAACGTCAATTTAATTAAATAAAAATCATATTCCATAGTATTTAATATTGTATTGAAATATAAATTCATTAAATTAAGTGAAACATGTCAAGTTTCGATCAGACAAGCAATATATGTAAAGTTCGTTTAATATTTCACTTATTTTTTATTGAAACGATAATATTGTTAAAATGCATGACATTTTATTTAAATTTTACTATTATTATATTTATAAAAAAGAAATAATTTATAAAAAAAAAAAATTTCTTCTTATTAATTAATAAAAATATTTCTAAAGAATTATTTATGAAGAAAAATAATTTATAAACGTAATTTACTTCTTTTTTTTTTTTGTTGAAAATAAATATATAAAAAATGAAATAATACGAGAAATTTTCACGAAAATATTATGATAAAATTTTACAACGGAATATATAACAAAATATGCTTATTAAATGTGAATTATATTAAAATTAAAATAAGCACGCAGAATCATGAATAGTTATTTATGAATATCTTGTTTATGAATCTGAAAATGAGAAAATTGCAAAACTTCACGAAGCAACATGTTTATGATACATAATTAAAATTGTTCGCTTCTTCTTTATCCCCTTGATAAGATACAATGAAATAATATTAACAATGTATTTCCATATCTCATTATTTTATTAAATGTTATATTTTTAGTTTTTTTTCTATTAATTAAAAACATTTTTTTTCGCTTCATATAGAATTTTTTTTTTTTATTTAAAGAATAATAGTTTAATAATTGAAATTAGTTGAAAATTTTACTAATTTAGATTTAGAGAGTAAAATTTTTATTTAACTGAAAATTTGAAACATATTTATTTGGCTCTGAAACAAATATATTTTTTCTCTGGATTAAGAAATAATTTGATGCTTCGATCTTTTAGTACTCTTTAAACAGCAATTGATTTTTGCTATAAAGTTTATAGAAGCATATTCAAGATCGTTTTATACAAAATTTATTTGCCCTTCAAAGAACAATAGTTTAGTAATATTAATCAAAAACCTTTCATACATTTACTCTCCATGATTAAATGGTTACTGTACTTGTATAGTAGAGATAGTTATTGCGTTCCACGCCTTGCAGTAAATCGAAGCAAGAGAGAGAGAGAGAGAGAAAGGCCCGCAAGCTTGGTTGCTGTAAACTATGATTGTGTGGAGATTACAGACCATCGGTAATTACTAACAGGCGTACAAAACGCTTGGCGAAATGAAGCGCACTACAAAATACATGTTCGCAAACTCGTTTGTATCATCTTCATTTATTTCCAATTATAAAAAAAACAATTTAATTCACGTAAACACTTTTAGTTTACACCGAGAGAGAAATTTTCTTTTTTTTTTTTTTTTTTTTTATTTAAACCAAATATTTTACGAAAGCAATTTCATTGCAATTCAATAAATATATATTTGTTTTCAATAAACTGTTTATTTACATCAAATAAAAATTTTGTTCCTTGCAAATCAAAATTTTATTTGTACTAAATAAAATTTATTTGAGACAAATTTATTTTTTTCTGAATATACCAATAAATTCTGAAAAAGAATTGACTTTAAAGGATTACAACATAAACTTTGGTTTCACATAATATATATATATATATATATATATAATAGTGCACTCGTTAAAAACTATCAAAATTAAAAAGTAGAAGAAAAAGAACAATTCAATATTTTATTTATGAGGCGCAAAGCAGTAAATAGTACAACAAATGCCATTAAATCTCAAGGATTTAATCTCCCGGGAAATCTTGGTTGCGGAGACAGATTTATCAAACAAAGAGCTGCTTGAGCTGTAAAACTTGCACAATTACCCTTTTCCAACAAGAATCTAAAGCTTTTAACAATCTCAAGATTATATCATTTTATATTTAGCTAGGAGAAATCTTATTTAAGAGCATCCATTTTATAAAATCATTGTATATATCTATTTTATATTTCATGTTGGAAAATTTTTTTCTGACTCAAAGACAATTTTTTTTTCTAGAATAAGAAATACTTCCTCTATAAGAAAGTAATAAGGGAAATAAAAACTTACAAATCGTCTTTTTTAAGTAGAGGAATTTTTTTTTAATAAGAATTCGAATAAATTCCGTCTGACTAAAATTAATTTCAACTACTGATACTGAAAATTTCTGCAATTGGTAACGTTTTGTTAGATTAGAAATTTTTACTACTCTTTAAATCTAAATTAGTAAAAATGTTTACTAATTTGAATTAGTGACTCACTTTTTGGTTCTGAATTAGTAAAATTTTACTAATTAGTAGTAAATTTTACTAACAATTAGTAAAATTTTACTAATACAGAAGCAAAAAGTGAATTACTAATTCAGATTTAGAGAGTATAATTTGAAAAAAGTTCTGTCATTATGAAACTGATTTATTTACTGCAAAAAAAGAAATTGAAAATTTAAAACAGTCGTGTCTGACCAAAACTATTTTTACTACTGAAATTATAATTTGAAGAAATTAAACAATATATTACTAAAAATGTCTGACTGGAATGGGTCTTTACTATTAAATTTTATAGTCTGACTAAAGTCAACTTATACTACTAATACCAATGTTACATAAAAAATGGGAAAATTCCCGTCTGACTAAATTCGACTTTTACTACTAATAAGTAGGAATAAAAAATTCTGACTGAAGATAAATTTTACAAACTGATAAAAAAATAATAATTGCAATATATTCGTCTGACTAAAATTTACTTCTACTACTAATGCTATTATAAAGAGAATCCGACTGACAAAAAAAATATTTTACTACTTAAAAAAATTACAAAAAAATTGAAAATTTCTATCTCAATGTAATTGCTTTTTACTACTGAAATATTTTAGTCTGACTAAAGTCAACATTTACTACTAATATCAATATTACATAAAAATTAGAAAATTTCCGTCTGACTCAATGGGTCTTTTACTACTAATAGTAAAATACAAAAATTTAGACAAAAGATAAATTTTTTTATAGAAAAATAGTAATTTCATAAATCATAATTTGTGTGACTAAAATTTTCTTCAACTACTAACACTATTATTACTATATGAAAAAGTTCTGTCTGACTGAAACTCACTTTTACTACTAATTCTACATTTTCGAAAATATCAATGAAATAAAACATTTAGAGAAAATTTTATTACTACTAATTTTATTCTACTCGAAAAAATTGGATAACAAATGAAAAAAAAATTGAGAAGATCTTTTTAATAAAATTTTCAATTTGCTGTATACAAAGCAAAAAGAAAATCTTTAACGTCACAAAGCCTTTGCAATTTGAAATTCCAATCTTAACGTTCAATTAGTTTATCAAATGCAAATAAAATCGATTGAATTGGGATTTTTGTAATCTAATCAGACGAGATGGAAAGTAGAACTCTCTTTTAGAATTCCTCGCGTGCATTCTTGATTTATGATTTCCCGATTATATTTAAATATGCGAAGAAAAAATAACAAAAAGAAAAAAATTCATTCGTTCAATTCACAATTTTTAAAATAAAATCAATTGAATTTAATAAACTGCTTTATGTCATTAATTGTGTTTTTTCTCTCTCTCTCTCGCTACGACGCTAAAAAAATTATCGTTTTACTAATGAAAAAAAGGAAAGAAAAAAAAAAATGTAAACTAAAGGAAAAATTGCATCACCTAACACATTGAAAGTTTAGAGAAGATTTGCGACATTCGCACATGTGAAATAATCGCGAATTAACGTTAATCGGGTTATATTATGTGGAAGAAGAAACGATGCATCTCGAGTAAATCGCATAATCCTTGGGTTTTAGGAACAATAGCAACGTCTCGCGTGTGCGCGAGCGGGGGAAAATGGAAAGGGCCCATTAAAGGTGGCTTTGTAAAGAGCACAACGAAACAGAACTTGAACTTTAGAAATGCTGAGTATCAGGACTTTGAAAGCACAGGAATAACGAGATATAGTATAGTATAGTAGAATGAGAAGAACCAAAGTGTCGTAATTTTGTTAATTATTCACGAGGGTACTGTAGGCCGATTAATTAACCAAAGCCAAAGTCTCAGAGAGCAGTCAACTGTCCAGGAAGAAGAGAAAGAAGAAGAAGAAGAAGAAGAAGAAGGCTTTAATACGTTGCAGTAAAAAAATCCTAGTTAAATAATTACCAAGACTCTCAAAGATGGTCTCTTTCTCCCTCTCTCTCTTGTGAAAAGGACATAAACTCTGTCCGCTAAGAAAGAGAAAACTGAAAAGCACTGCACTTAATTTTCGCGATAATTAGTTGTCAGCTGTTTTTCTTTTCCTATATATATATATATATATATATATATATATATATATATCCCTCCAACTCAACTTGAACTTTATGAAAAACCTTCAACTCTCAACAGAAGTCTTTGAAACTTTCTTTATGGATTTTTATTTACGTTTTACTTTTATAATTGCTTTTCTATATTTTCTAAATTGCTTTTACACATATACACTGAAAGTATAAATTTATTTTATTTAAATAACCGTTTACTTGACTATTATCGAATATTTATTTGTAATAATTTTTAAACTGCCACCCAAAAAAAAGTAATCTTATACTTAGAGGAAAATTCCTCTTCTAATATCCTCTAAATATTTCCTCTTAAAACAAGATTATTCAATTGAAATGTAGAATATTTTTATTCTTCATTTTAATGGAAGAATGACAAAAGGATTCCTTTTGTATTTTCCTCTTTAATTAAGATTTTCCGTTTTAAATTTAGAAGATTTAAAAAAAGGAAACGGAAAAAAATAATGTAATCGTTTGATCCCTTTCTCTGGGTATGATAGTTGTGAAGTTGTTTTTTAACCTTTCAGTTTTAATATTTCTGGTAAAATGTCAACAAAAAGGACAAAAAAATGGATTTGCTTTATTAAAAATACAGAAAATATAGTTAAATTCAAATGAAATGAATATTTTTAACGCTATTTTTAGATTTAAAAAAAAAATTTGGATATTTCTTGTGAAATTTTACTACTCAGGTAAATAGAAATACTATAACCCCATTTTTGAATCTTTCGAATTTTTTAAATCTTTTTATTTACTTTTTTAAAAAAGTTTTAAAACGTTAAATAATTTCATATATGAAATTTTTTTCTGTCCTATAAAAAATGTTAACTTTTAAACATATCATCATGTTTTAAAATTATTTTTGCGCTGAAAATCTCGTTGATCATTACAACTGATTAATGAAAACTTATTTTTTGTATTTTAATTATCAATATAAAATGTTGATAATTAACCAAAAACATGACATTGTTAATGTTATATTAAAAAACAATTTTTATTATTATATTGAAATGAATTATTATAATTTTACTTAATTTTAATTTAAAAATGTATTTTCTGCAAAGATTTTATTATTTGATTGAAATTATAATTATTTTATTGATGGCTTTGACATTAAAAACAATTTTACGAGGTTTGGATGTCGACATTTAATTTAAGAGGAAAATCCTCTTAAATGAAGAATAATAATTTTGATACCAAAATTAAGAGGAAAATATGCATTTATTTTAGAGGAATCCTCTAGATTGAAAATTACTTTTTTTAGTATAATAATTTCTAAATTTGAAACAATTAAACAAACATTCTTTGATACAAATAAAAAAAATAAATAAATAAAATTTAATTAACTTGAATGAATATTATTTTGCGATTGAAGGAAATTATTTGAACAAAATAAAAAATTTGTTTTTTTTTCAATGCAGATAAAGTTCTCAAAAATTTTTATTTTCATTTACTAATCTGTTTGTAATAATTTTCTTTTACTAATTTTCAGTGGATATGATAAAATAAACTTCAATCAATTCAAATTGACATTGGGTGAATATAATTTAAAGGAAAAAGAATCTCCAGTTGCAAAGGTTGAAACTATTAGTAAAATTACGATGCATCCAGAATTTAAGTGTAGATTTTATATTAACGATGTGGCCCTTGTGGAAACAACTAATTCTATATCATGGTCTGAAAGTGTTCAGCCTGCATGTTTGCCACATGAAACAGGTAAATCTGGATTTGATGCTTTCAATGGAGAAGAAGCCGTAACCGCAGGATGGGGTTGGCTCGGAGAAGATAAATCAAAAGGTATAAAATTCAAACAAAATTTATGCAATTTTCAATTTTACACACACATTTTTTTTTTTTAATAACAAATATCTTCTTTAATAAACAAATATTTTTCAATCCATTAACAAGTTTTAATTAAAAATATATTTGAAATCAAAAAAAAAAATATTTGATATTAAAAAAAAATAAGAAAAATATTCTCTGTAACCTCATAAAAAAATAATTATAATTCAAGAACAAAACTAATTAATTTCGTATGGTACAAAGAATTATTTAAATAAAGTCACTTATACAATTTTCCAACACCTAAGGCTCGTTATATAATGGAAAAAAACTGCAACATTTGTTTTGACGAGATTTCATAGAACAGTGGAGAAAAGGAAGGCACAATAAAAAAAAAAGAAAAAAGAAAAAAAAATTGCTCGTGTGACAGCAGATTGCAAACATCGTACAAACAGGTCGTTGTTTTTCAGACAAAAGAGCGGACGTGCTGCAAAAAGTTGATGTTCGCGTTTTGGAGAACAGTGTATGCAACGAGTGGTATGCCAGTCAAGAGAAAAAAATTCGCGTCGTATCGGGACAAATGTGTGCCGGATATGAAGATGGTGGACGCGATTCATGTTCCGTAAGTTAAAATTCAATCATTGTTTTTTTTACACCCTAAAAAAAACAATTTTTAGTTTAAATAAACAAATAAATAAATAAAAGAAAATAATTATATAAGAAAAAGAAAAGTTTTTAAGGATCAAAAACATTTTTCATTGGCTTCGCTTTCTTTTTTTTTCTCTTTTTTTAAAAAATGCAAGTTACTGTAAAACGTTTCACCCTATTATTATTATTAAATTGGGTCGTTAACTCTCAAGCACCTGCTTTACTTTGATTTCCTTCTAGGCTTTGTTAGACTCCTTTTAAAATCGCAACGGCAAAGTCAAGTGACGTCCTTTGATCATAAATCGCTTTTCAATGATGTAACGCTAAACGTAACAAGAGAAAAATTTCATCAACCGAAAAGTTTTTTACGAAAAATATATTTATATATATATATATATATATATATCCATTTTATACACGCGAATATTCGAGCGTAATTTTATAATGCACGGAAGAGAAAACTAAAACCCATTTATTAAGGAAACTACCTTTTGAAACGCAATGTTTTACTAAAAATAGATATTATCTATTCAGTATATAATAATCAGTAATACAAAAACATTTTTTTGTGATTTTATAAATGCTTAAGAAAATTATCCTTTAAAAATTATTCATCAATTTTTGTTGAAAAATTCAACATCAAATTTTTTAACAATTTTTGAAACTAGAAAAATTTTAATGTTTCTTCTTCAGTAAACGTTTTATTTCCTAAATACTACATAGTAATATTTAATGGCGCTTATCCTTATTTTCGAAAAAAAAACACCTTCTTTAAACATTTTCATAAAACTTTCATTAACTGCGCTAATTATGCTTTTAGTAAAGTTTAAATGAAATTTTAAATAAAATATCGTCAAATATTGAAGAAGGAGTATTATTAACATTTTCGAAAACTTCATTAACTTATCACAAGGCTTTTGACATTTTCCAAAATAATTTTACCCGAACCAATTAAACTTTTTATTAAATTTTTTTTTATAAAGTTCTTTTACAAAACTATTAAAAGAAATTTAAGAAAAAAATTTAAAAGCTCTACATTCTTTCTAATGTAATTTAAATTTTCAATATTTCCAAGGGTAAAATTTTATTTAACCGAATTTTCACTCAATTAATTAAAATTCTATTAAAAAATGAAAATTCAGCTAAACAGGAATAAATTAGAATTCTGACAAATAAAAATTCAGTTAAATAAAAATTTTTCTAAATAAAAATACGGTTAAATAAGAATTCGGTTACATAGATATTCTATTAAGCATATTTTCTGCTAAATGAAAATTCAAAGCACTGGACAAGCCTAATTTCTGCTAAATGAAAATTCAGAGCACTGGAGAATTAGATATAAAAAATTCGACTGAACAGAAATTCTGACAATTTAAAATTCGGTTAAATATAATTTTTGTTGAACATGAATTCTGACAAATGAAAATTCAAAGCACTGAAGAATCTGATATAAAAAGTACGGGTAAATAGAATTCCTGTTAAATAAAAATTATGCTAAATAAAGATACGGTTAAATAAGAATTCGGTTACATAGCTATTCTATGAAGCATAATTTCTGCTAAATAAAAATTTAAAGCACTGAACAAGCACAATTTCTGCTAAATGAAAATTCAGAACACTGGAGAATCAGACATAAAAATTTCGGCTAAATAGAAATTCTGATGAATTGTTTCAAATTGAATAAAGCAAAATTTTAGTTTAATGAAAATGTTATCGAATAAAAAATTAGTGATCCAAAAAATTGATATTCTAAAAATTCAATTCATTTGAAATTCTGCTAAATAAAACTTGGCTTAATGAAAATATTCTCTACTGTAAAAAATTAAGTTTTTCCATTTCTACTTTATCAAAATTCAGCTAAATATAAATTTAGTCTCAGAAACTTGGAACTATAATGAATTTTGGAGAATATATTTGCATGCATCATCTCAATATAGTAACTGATGATTATATTTCCTGGAATTCGAAGGAGCAAACAAGAAGATCTCTCTTGGTGTATGTTATTACTTAGGGAGAGATAACCGGTGGCACAAGGCAAGACAAGTCGATTTTGTCGTTTTATCTAGATACATATATATATATATATATATATATAGAGAGAGAGAGAGAGAGAGAGAGAGAGAGAGAGAGAGAGAGAGAGAGAGAGAGAGAGAGAGAGAGAGAGAGAGAGAGAGAGGATAGTAATTTTCGCAGTCGCAAGGAAAATGTCCTATCCTACGCAAGCACTAAATTCTCATAGTCAATTAAGGCTAGCAGCAGTTTTGGTGAATCGAGCGAAAGGCTTTTCCCTCTCGGGAATTCTATATAACTCGGGCATTATGTAGACCGTGGACGTTGCACAACGAAAATGACGAAGCAGTTCGATGGGAACCTTTGATAGCATGGAATTACTCAATTTTCCACCATTCGGAAAGAGGAATTAATGCATCAAGTTAACGATAACTCACAAATACACCATTGACCTATTTTCCAGTATTTACCTATTTTTCCTCATTTCATTAAATAGAGTACATTTTAATTGGAAAACTCGTTAACTATTTGTGTATTTCCCTCTATATATATATAAATAATTATTTCTACAATTGCAAAGAGTCTTCGAATCATTGCATGAGAAAAAAAAACCAAGTGAGAAAAAAGTTTATTCTATTTTTAAAAATAGTTTTCATTTATAGAAATTTATCTATAAATTATTATGTATATACGTTTAATTAAGGAATTTAATTGAAAAAAATATAAAATCTAATTTCAAAATTCAATTATAAAAAAGAAAACTAATAGAAACCCCCCGTATAATTAATCTTAAAACTATAAGAGAGAAATTCGTTTCCCTGGCATATAGTTTTAAATTGTCTATCAGTAGAAAAAAAAAGAAATTAAAGCGGGGTTCATTACCTCGGAGTAAATCGTTGTCACGTCAAAAAATACAACTAAATATTTTGTAATAAAATTTCAATAAATTAAAAAAAATTTACCTTAATGAAGAATTTTCAGCTTCAAGGAGATATTCTTTCAAAACTAAATAGCCCTCGGAGATCCCTATTTTCAAGTTAAATTTCCATTTAGAAAATGTGAAAAATAACCGTAAAAATAGACCGAGTTCTATAAAAAGTCTGAATATGAAGAATTGTGTCCTTACTTTCGCCCTTATCTTTAAAGTACGTGACACCACAAGCCATTCAGGATAGAATCTGCAAAAATAAAAATTTTTTATTTTTAAGAGAGAAATTAGTTTTTTGATATATCCTTGATTTTACTGTTTGTCTGCCTACAATTCATTTGTCCACAGAAAATTAAAAGGCATTAAAATAATAAGCGTTGCAGCTTATTTTAATGCCTTTTAATTTTTTGTGTCTGTATGTCTGTCTACCCGAGTCGAAATTTAGACTCTCTATAAGTTCTCTAAAAACCTCCTTTTATCCTCCTTTTATTCTCTCCAACACTTTCATACCCTCTTTTCGACCTCGAATTTGCAAAAGTGGAAATATCTGCTATATTATATTCGAGGCTGAAAGGAGAGTTTAAAGATGACTAGAGAGGCGTAAAAGAGGTTAAAAAAACAAAAAAAAAAACGAAAAAATAAAATTAAAAAAATGTAAAAATTGGATTTTATTTCTTATGGACATTATTTATTGACCCTATTTGAAGATATATATTTATTGGTCTTTGTCGTAATACTATAAAACTTTTAGGAGGAATAAAACTTCGAAAAATTCAAATTAAGAAAAAATTCCAAGACCTCTTTTCAACTTCTAAACATGCAGATTTGAAAATAAGCGCATGATTTCAGGCTGAAAAGAGGCTGAAAAAATCGAGGGTGAAAAGAGGGAAAAATTTCGACTCGGGTAGAAAAAATTTTACATTGAAATAATTTCTATTATTTTCAACAAAAAAAAAAAATTTGAGAAAAATATAAAGCGGAAAATTTTTATGAAAAAATTATTTTCTATAATATGTAAATAATTATAAAAAAAAATTTGACTACTGTCGCAGTACTGGTACAATATTTGTAACAGTACTGCGCCAGTAGTGAAATCAGCCATTTTTTTATAGGGTAAATTAGTTTTTCACGAAAAAAAGTAAAATGAGAAAAAGGCATATAAGAGAGGCTTAGTGGATGATTGCTAGCGATGTTCGATAACTATATACATATATAACTTAATTTTAGGCTGACAGTGGTGGGCCCTTGATGGTCGGAAGTCATCCCGCTAGAACGATGGTCGTTGGGGTGGTCTCATCGGGAATTGGATGTGCCCGACCACGTCTTCCGGGTATATATACAAGAGTCTCAGAATATATTCCTTGGATTGTGCAACAGGCTATTCCATAAAATCCGGAACAAGTGTTCTCAAGAAATATATATAGTATAAAGAATTGCGTTTGTCACGCTAACAAAAATTTCACGTCGAAATTTATGTAAATATGAACGAGTCTCAACTTTTATATATATATATATGTTATAGTATGTTGGACAATTTATAATTCACACTTTTATATACGATCCGTTTATTTTAGTGTGAATATTTTTTTGTCAACGAAAATTGAATTAATAGTCCCGCATTTTTCCAAAAGAATTTTTGGATAATTTTACAATGTAACCGAAGTTTTTTTTTTTAATGTAGAGGCCGAATAGTATTCGATGTTTTAATTCTTATTTTCTTAAAATTTTTTTAATATTTTATAATTTTTCATAATTTGAATTAGTGACTTAAATTTTTCTGTGAATTATGGTTAATTTTACTCATTATTCTGCGAATTAATTAATTTTACAAGAATAATAAGAATAATTTTTCATAAAAAATTTAAGCACTAATTCGTAGTAGTCACAATTTTTTTTTTGTAATTCAATATTAAGAATAATTTTTAAAAACAAAACAAAATTAAGCCATTGATTTTCTTCATTAATTTTACAATGTAAAACATAAGTTGTAACAATTTAAAAAAATTTAAACAATGTAAAAAATTTATGAGTGATAGGTAACAATTATAATTCTAAGTTATCTCCTCAATTGCGCAAAAAAAAATCAAATTACAATGCAGATTTAATTATTTATGAGCGCTCTGTGATATCAACTAGATTTTACGACAAAAATATGTAAATGAGATAAATGAATATTTAAAAAAAAGTAAGATAATTTTTAGTATTCTAAAAATTATTAATTATTTGTATTATTAATTTATTATTATTAGTATTATTATTAGCAATAGTAGTAGTATTAAATATTTTAAATATAAATTATTTTAATTATTAAAAAAAAAAGTCTAGTCAAAATAATATATTATTAAAGTATTATTTATAAAAAAAATATATAACTCTAACCTTGGAATATCCTCTAGTTCTGATGATATTTTCTGTTACACAAACACACGCGATTTAAATAATTCCAAACACTCCCGAAACTGTGTTATTTTTTGAAATATCGCCATTTTTAAGAATTTCAAAAACTCTCGACTAAAAAAAAATTTACTTTTAAAAAATCTTAATTATTTTCGTTCGCGAATTAAAATATTCGAACACTCCCGAAGCTATTCACTATTAAAATATATCACACGCAAAAAAAAATCTTTATCTAAAACAGTGAAAGTTTTCGCTATTCTAGAGAAATATATCGCTATTCCAGAGAAACTTATCGCTGTTCCAGGCAAAAACTTTTTTGCATGCACAATATTATTCTTTGGTACAAATAAAAAAAAATTAACAAAAAACGATAAAAAAAAGAATTTAACAAAGAAAAATTTATAATTTTATAAAATTAACACAAACGTTAAACAGGTCTAAGCAAGTTAATACACAAATTGCAACTGATTGAAAATTTGGGATTTTATGACCTCTAGTAATAAGGTAACCTTTGTCCTTCAATTGTAAATACAGTTCGAGACGCGCAGGTAGAAAAATAATTTTCACAAACGCCATAATCATAAAAAAACCTACCAATAGAACCTAAATTGCAGTAGACTGAGAATAATCAATTTTGTTCCATTTATTGAGATAGAATGTTTTCCTGGAAAATGAAAAAAATTCAATAAACATTCGAAAAAAATTAATCAGCATGTCTCTATTATTTTTTTACCTTCAAAGAACTTTCAAAGAACCTTCAAAAAAACCTACCTATTGAACCTAAATTGCAGTAGACTAAGAATAATCAATTTTGTTCCATTTATTGGAATAGAATGTTTTCCTGGAAAATGAAAAAAAATCCTTACAAATACAAAAAAAATTAATCAGCATGTCTCTATTATTTTTTCACCTTAAAACAACACGTAATACCTTCAAAAAAAACCTACCAATTGAACCTAAATTGCAAGAGAATAAGAATAATCAATTTTATTCCATTTTTTTTAATAGAATGTTTTCCTGAAAAATGAAAAAATTCAATAAACATTCGAAAAAAATTAATCAGCATGTCTCTATTATTTTTTTACATTCAAAGAACCTTCAAAGAACATTCAAAAAAACCTACAAATTGAACCTAAATTGCAGTAGACTAAGAATAATCAATTTTATTCAATTATTTTGAATAGAATGTTTTCCTGGAAAATGAAAAATTCCATAAAAATTCTAATAAAATTAAACAGCATGTCTCTATTATTTTTTTACCTTCAAAGAACCTTCAAAGAACCTTCAAAAAAACCTACCAATTGAACCTAAATTGCAGTAGACTAAGAATAATCAATTTTATTCCATTTTTTTGAATAGAATGTTTTCGTGGAAAATGAAAAAAAATCCTTACAAATACAAAAAAAATTAATCAGCATGTCTCTATTTTTTTTTACCTTCAAAGAACCTTCAGAGAACCGTCAAAAAAACCTACCAATTGAACCTAAATTGCAGTAGACTAAGAATAATCAATTTTATTCCATTTTTTTAAATAGAATGTTTTCCTGGAAAATGAAAAAATTTCTTGCAAATTCAAGTAAAATTAATCAGCATGTCTCTATTATTTTTTTACCTTCAAAGAACTTTCAAAGAACCTTCAAAAAAACCTACCTATTGAACCTAAATTGCAGTAGACTAAGAATAATCAATTTTATTCCATTTTTTGCGATAGAATGTTTCCTGGAAAATTAGAAAACAAACTATGTTTTTCAGAGATTTCTTGAAAAAAACATAAGAAGTATTAAATAATTATTTATTTAAAAAATTGAAGAATAATTCAATTTTTAAACAAATATTTTTCACAACTTTGAAATTTGCAAATAGCAAAATTATGAAAAACTGCATTTTTGTATATATTTTTTTTTAAAAAAGTAAATAAACAACAACAATCTATTGTTTAATTAGTCCTAATAAACAATTTTAATTATTATTTATAATAAAATTAATTTATTCTGGTCTTTGGAAAATTGGCCTACATATAAGCAATTTGTGTATTTTTCCTTACTTGTAACAACCAACTTAAACATTGTTTAAAAAAGGTTTTAAACGCAAAATTTTGAATTTTTCGCACATAACAGACAGAGTCTATGTTATTCTGAACATTTTCCAAAAGGTTTTTTTAAAAAAATATTCAAAATTGTGCTTTTCACATACCTGAGAAGTTTGCGTGTCATGCGCCATGATTTGTCACGTCACGAAGGTTCAAATGCTCTTAACACATTTACAAATACTTCGAAATTATAAATTTTAAAAATATAATTTATACAAATTAAAGATTTTTTGTAACATTTTTGAAGACGATTACATTTTCATTTTTCGTCAAAACTTATTTTTTTATTTTAAATCTAAATGAAAAATATATGATTGTTGTAAAATAAAATATATAAAAATTCAAAATGGTGGGTCCAAAATGTCGGATCAAAATTTTAAAAAAACTTAAAATTGAGAAGAAAATTAAGAATGATGTAATTTTTTTTCTCAGATATCAAGAGAGATTGTTTGATTATATATAGTATATATATATATATATCATAGAGAGCTGAAACTGTTGGTTATCGGTGATATACAAGTTTAGGTGCTCCACGGGGATTTCATTATTTTAACGACACAAATTTAGTGTCTATTTTGAATCCTTGTGCAATCATAGTTAATTACTCAGGGTACCAGTTTGTCCCAAGAGTAACATAGAAGCTGATCGAACAATTTTCATGCACATATTCATAGTGTAGTTTGTGCTAGTGATCACAATTTGTCTCATCTTATAACACGTTATTAAACTATATAGAACCAAAAGTTTCAAGTTTTTACCTAAACCACTCATATTAAACTTTATTATATACATTACATATCATGATTCTATAGAAACAGTTTATTTACTTCAAACAAAATTTATTTTAGTATTTGTAATAGTTACATTATGGAATAAAAAAATTTATTAATGGTAATTAAAAAGGAAACGTAAAATTTAGAAAAAAAACATATATTTAATAATTAAATATTATATTTATACAGTTTTAAATTGTAATTTTGAATTTTAAACACGTCTCACTTTTTTCGGTCTCGGTGGATTCCATGAAACTCGAGTCCGATCAGTGAGTGATATTATATTTAATCCACTCATCTCGAGACCTTTGACGGACGACTAAAAATAATGAATTTTTATTTATTTGTTAGTTTAAAACTTGACTTACATATATTTTACTTACCGCTCTTCCTGGTCCAAGTCCTTGAATAACAATTCTAATATTTTTTATACCATTCTTTAAGACTTTCTGAAAATTCAGAAATAATTTTTATAATTATTCATTAAAACAGTAGTTAGCGGAAAACTTTTTAAAATTTTATTCTCTAATTTCATTTTATACAACAATTTCTTATTTATCATTTAAAAATTTTATTTCTTTTATTATAAATAATTTTAATTTAAAAAAAATTGACATACCGAACCAAAAGTTATGGCCGTTTGTTGTGCAGCGACATTAGTACCTTTTTTAGAATTTTTGTATCCTTCTACTCCACAGCTGTGATGAATGGTTACATTGCCTTAAATTAATTAAATTACTTTTTAGTACACATTTAATAATTTATTAAACAATAATTGAATATATAAAAAAAAATCTCTCTCTTATCTCTCTAATTTACATACATATACATAGATTTATTAATGGTTTACCTAAATGATCAGTCAATGAAAATATCGTATTGTTAGGCGTAGTTTTTATATAACAAATTGATAATTCTGAAAATATTACACCGTCAAATATAAGTGATGGTGTATTTTTGTCGGGAAACATTCCACTTCTGTAAATAGAAAAAAAAACTTTATAAACATGTTAATAATAATTAATTTCTATAATATTTAAAAAAATAATCTTACTGATTTTTGATATAATCAATATCATAAGTGTGTTCTCCAATTGTACCCTCATTTCCTTTTTCTTTAATCCGATATTCCCTTTTATGTGATACTTTTTCACTATATTTCGAGGTTATATTTACACATGGAACACGAGCAACTTTCACAGAATCAAGTATTGATTCAACACCACAAAATGTTTTTAACGATGAAAGTTTTGTTAAATTTATTAAAGTTTTGAACATTTTAATATGACACTACTTAACGTTTTCCGATTATTAAAATAACATTTACAGAGTGTTAATTATGTAAGAAAATATACAAAAATCACAATACACTTTATTCACCGCATATATTATGACGTGAATCAGTATGAAAGGCAGTTACTTATGGCGCTCTCTTGCGAGGAGAGCGATAACTTTCTATACCAACATAAGGTAAACTGTGAATGACGAGGGTCACTAGTTTGACAGTGAACGCTATAAATACCTCTAGAAGAGATAAAAATGAATAACGTAATCTAATCTATCATTTGTAGAAAATAACAAAACAATACAGAAGAATTTTTATCATTAAAATACAATTAAAATTATACTTTTTCTTAAACATTCACTTTAAACAAGAAAATTTTGTTGCACCTGCCCTTAAATTGACCTTGAATTAATAAATTTCATTGAAAACTTTAATAGTCAAATCTGTTTTATCCGAAATTGGTAAAACAGATTTCTTTAAATTGGTAATAATTATTTTTAAATATTATTTTAAAATAAATTCCTTAAAAATTATTAATTATTTTAAATTAATTAATTATTATTAATTATTTTAATTATTAATTAATTATTATTAATTATTTTAATTATTAATTAAATATTATTAATTATTTTAATTATTAATTAAATAATAGTAAATTATTGTTTAATATTTAATAAAAAAAACGAATGTCTCTCATAGACTCAAATCAGAGAATAATTTTCACTAATTTTTATGAGAAATTTTTTACTAAAACGTTAGTGAAATAAAAAAAATATTAAAGAACTAATAAATAAAAAAAAAATTTAATATTTACTATTCAGAATATAACGATAAATTAAAATATATTGTTTATATTATTTCCAAGAATAATAAAAAAATAACAACTTTTGTTTTTTATTTGTCTCATCTTCAATATATGGATCGAATTTAATTTTCTTCAAACATATTGAGTAAATATGACTAAACAAACATTGGGGAAATATTTACTGACTTCAGGCAATATTATAAATATATAGCAATATATAAGAAATAGAGAAAAATTAAAAATCATAGATAATTGTATATAAAAATAAAAATATTATTTCAATAAAAAATTTAGAAATATTTATACAATTCCCAAAGCTAAATTATTAAACTATATAATTAAAATAAAATTGAAAATAATTATTATAGAATTTTTTTTTCCCGCAAACCTATTATCATATATATATATATATATACGTATAAAATATTGCTTTATCAAATTTGTTAACACGCATAGAATAAAAAGCCTCTAACTATATACATATACAAACATGCCAAGCATCTCGTTAGAAACTAATGGTGGTTTTTCAGTATACACATCCAATTTGAAAAGTGACGTTTTAAGAAAATAACAATCCCTTAAGAAACATACAACGTAAATTATGACCGAAGGCAAATTATTATACAAAACGGAAAAAATACAATTTCCATAAAAAAAAAAAATATACATACATTTATGAAAATTCAAATTTTCATAATAGTTTGATTTTTGCTATAAAAATTAAGAAAAAATAACCAATTATTAGAATTATAATTATATTATTATATTATTATACCCAGAAAAAAGTTATATTTGTCTCAGAGCCAAATAAACATTATATTTGTTTCAAATAAATTTCAATAAAAATTATATTTTGCTTCAAATAAATTTTATTTGTTTTAAATAAACGACAGTAAAATATTTCTCTTGGTGTATATATTATTATTAATTTATAATACTATTATAATCATATTATTTGTTATCAGGATAATCATATAGATCCAACATACAAAAATATGTATTTAAATGTCAGTGTTTGTAATTCGCATACACATATAGATATTACACGTGTATATATATATTGAAAGAGGAAACATAAACTTAGCTCGCATTATGTTTTCAGTAGTACTTTCAGTAGCTTATTATTAACTATGATTTAAGGCATATAGACTCAGTAGCATGTAATACTTGTGGATATATTCTCAAATGTAATATGCAAATTAATGTCCCTAATAAAACAAAAGGACTCTATATATATATCTTTATCTCGTAAATTTCCAAGTTCCATGAAATTCAAGTTTTAAGAGCACAAAGTCGTCTTTATATTGAGCGATAGACGAAATATATATATATATATATATATATATATATATATATATATATATATATATATATATATATATACAATATATATAGTTGAAATCAGTGTGGTAAAAAGTAGAATTCTTTTCATTGTTAAAGGCAATGAAACAGACGTGAGAACTTGAGCACGTTCTTCAAACAAACTTCCAGTCAGTGAACTTATCGATATCGTTTTATTTTTCATCAAATGTCAATAAATATATATATATATATATACTTTGTACTTTTTCACACTACTTTTATATATATGTATATCAAATGAAATGGAATCCTTAACAGACTATTGTAAATATAGTAGCTACAACCATTGCTAGATTTAAGCTATATTAGTTTTTAACTGTGGTAGTTTATACCAAACCTAATAATAATAAATAGAAGTTTAAATTTTATTTGTAGATTTAAATACTAATTAATAAAAATATTAGTTTTTACCAATTCTTATTTCAACGCATATAGTAATTTTAACAAAGAGTAGTTTTAATCAATGGTTGATTTAGCTACGAATAATTTTAACCAATAGTAATCACTAATTTTAGTTGAAACTCTTAGTACTTTTTAGCAATAGTACATTAAACAATAGTAGTTTTAACCAACAGTAGTTATAACTAATTGTAGTTTTAACCAACAGTAGTTATAACCAATTGTAGTTTAAACTACTAGTACTTTCAAACAATAGTACTTTTAAACAATAGTATTTTTAACCAATAGTAGATTTAAACAATTGTAGTTTTAACTACTAGTAATTTCAAATAAAAGTAGTTTTAACTAAATGTAGTTTTAACTACTAGTAATCTTATCCAATAGTAGTTTTTAACTATTGGTAATTTTAATCAATATTAGTTTTAACCAACGGTAGTTTTAATTACAAGTACTTTAATCAATATTAGTTTGAACCAATATGGTAGTTTTAATTACAAGTACTTTAATCAATAATAGTTTGAACCAATATGGTAGTTTAAACTATTAGTGATTTTAACCAATAGTTGTTTTAATAATTTGTAATCTTAACAAATAGTAATTTCAACAAATAGTAATTTTAACTAATTGTACTATTAACTACTAGTAATTTTAACTAATTGTACTATTAACTACTAGTAATTTTAACTAATTGTACTATTAACTACTAGTAATTTTAACTAATTGTACTATTAACTACTAGTAATTTTGACTAATTGTACTATTAACTACTAGTAATTGTAAATAATTGTACTATTAACTACTAGTAATTTTAACTACCAAATTAGTTTTATCTATTATCAGTCCTTTTAAATTAAATTAAATTCATTAAAATTTTATTTAAATCTTTTTAAATTATTCTAATTAACTTATTTATAATATCAAAGAATTTCAAATTTTTACTTCGTACTAAAAAAAAAAATATTTTTCTTTTTGTCAAATTTAACAATAAATTTTTGTTAACGCCAAATAAAAAGGAAAAGGTTTAAAATTTACATTGCGGTATATGAACTCGCGAAAACTTTAAAATGAAAACCCTATGTCATACGATGTATCAGTTTTCCTATGGTAAAAGATAACGTTGCCTTGTCCAGGAAGGATACTTGTCTACAAGAGTGAAGTTCCAAAAGTTTCATAACACCACGGTAATGGTGTATATCCTTCTCTTCTCTCTCTCTCTCTATCTCTATCTCTTTCTCTCTCCATTAACGTTATTTCTTACTAGAAAGCGCATGGAAGAAGGAAGAGAAGAGCTCCACTGAATCTACTTATCGCAATGGATACTGCTTCCACTCGTGTACAATTTTTCTACTTGCAAAGAATTTCTAAATATGTAATGAATCCTGCTTTTCCGGGATACAGTTTTGCATAATAAAACTTCCAGAACACACCTTTATATATACTCTATAATATGCATAATTTTTTATTTTTCTATATCAGTTTACGTAATTTGTATTTGTTACAAGTTTGCATTTGTATCATTTTTCATTTTGCTTATAGCCAAAAAGAAAAAATTATTTATCACGATTTCTAAAACAATAATGCACAATATTTGTCTTTCACATTTTTTTTTTTTTTTTTTTTTGATACTTTTGTTTTTTTTCGAGAAATACACAGCAGCACTAATAAAATTGTTTTTACTATTAAATAGATTTAAAGAAGAAAAATAATTATTTATCTCTTAGATTTTTTTCCTTTGAAATAGATTCTTGAAATTATGTATAAATTATATGTTTCGGGATATGTTTATATATATATATATAGCATTAAAACCACAGATGCCTCAAGAAGCATTCTATATATGTATTCTGTCTCTTCATGTCAGCCCGTTAAATAATGCAAACAAAATCTGCATTTACGTTTAGCAATGTTGCATAAATAAGCTTCCAAGTTATGCAACGTGTAGAATTTGAACTGACTTTATAGTTAAAACAACTATAATAAAATTTCAAATCTTTGAAAGATAATCTTTAAAAAAAAACATTAAAATAAACGAACAACAATACAACCATTGGTTAAAAATAATAGTAGCTTAAACTAGGATTGATAAAAAAAACTACTTTCGTCAAACTTACTAGTCGTTAAAAATAGAATTGGAAAAAATTGATTAAAATAACCATTGATTAACAGTACTCGTAGTTCAAACTACCATTGTTTAAATCAACTATTGATTTAAATTACTAGTACTTCAAACTACTAGTAGTTAAAAATACTATTAGTTTTATCTACTATTAGTAAAAATTACCAATGGTTAAACTACTATTGGTTAAAATTATTAGTAATTAAAACTACCTTTGCTTGAAACTACTATTGGTCTAAATTAGTTAAAACTACATTTAGTTAAATCTACAATTAGTTAAAATAACAAAACTACTATTGGTTAAAATCACTAGTAATTTAAACTACCATTAGTTGAAACTATTATTGCTTAAAGAAATAGTAGTTACAACTACCGTTGGTTAAAACTAATATTGAATGAAATTAGCAATGGTTCAAACTACTATTGGATAATATTACAAGTAGTTAAAACT